GGTGGTGAAATAGTGACATGTCGTTTTAAAATCCATGAGGGAAATACTGTAACCTCATTAGTACAGGTTTACAAAACGTGTGTGTGTGTGTGTGTATGTGTTGGGGCCTCTCTGGGAAAGATATGAGGTGAAGCTGTGTGTTTCACTAACCATGCAGAGCGAGGAATGTGATTTGCCCCATCAGAACCGTTTCACAACTTCATCTCCTCTCTCTGTTCTTCGCTCTCTTCTCCACCTCCCGGGAAATAGAGTACATGATTTCAGATATTGCACATACAAAGCAGAGCTATGGACACACCCACACATCCACACACAGTGAGATAAAAAGTGTCATGTGTTGCTCGTACTGAGATAGAAGTTGGCAGGACTCTCTATCCCCCCTCGCAGAAAGAGCGATACCAAAAACGAAAAAAGAAGAGAGGAACGAGGAACGAGCAGACCTCTACCTCTCCCCCTCTCACAGCTCAAGTAACTCCCTCTCCATCTCCCGAGCACACTATCCCCATCCATCTCCCTCTCCCCCTCTCCCTCTCCCTCTCCCTCTCTTTGTCTCGCTCACTTTCTAAGTGTTAGTGGTAGTTCAAAGGCTAGTAGGATTGTTGACCACTACTCTCTCTCTACACTCTTAGAAAAAAAGGTGCTATCTAGAACCTAAAAGGGTTCTTCAGCTGTCCCCATAGGAGAACCCTTTGAATAACCCTTTTCGGTTCCAGGTAGAACCCTTTTGAGTTCCATGTAGAACCCTTTCCACAGAGGGTTCTACATAGAACCCAACAGAGTTATACCTGGAACCAAAAAGGGTTCTACCTGGAACCAAATAGGGTTTTCCTATGAGGGACAGCCGAAGAACCCTTTCGGAACCTTTAAAAAAAAGAATGTACCTTCTCCCCTTTTCTCCCTTCCCCCCAACTCTTTCTCTACCTCTCTAACTACCACACCACACACGCACGCACACACACACACACAACACAACACACACACACACACACACACACACACACACACACCAACCAATACTCAATCAATGTATTGAGCACATAACAGCTGTTTTCTGTCAACTGTGCTGAGGACCAGACACTGGAATGTGTGACAGATTAATGTGTGTAGGTGTCTCTGTGCCAAAATAAAAGTTCTCAGTCCATAGGCCAGTTCCATTTCATTGATGGATCCTTAATGAGTAATTTTTAACCAAGGAAATAATGTGCTGATACAGATGACAACACACACACACAACACAGCTGACACAAACACCGTAGGCAGGCAGCATCTGGATTCTACACTCCTCTTAGCTAGCGGAGGACGGGAGCAACATTGGACTCTGACTGGAAAGCTGCGACTGGGTACAGTGAGGTAGCAGTAGCAGGCCTATCATACATGTGTTCACTGGAGGAACCACACCTTATAGGCAGCACAGGGAAACCTAGAGTAAAGAAAAACTCTCTCTCTCTCTCTCTCTCGCTCTCTCTCTCTCTCGCTCTCTCTCTCTCTCTCCTACTCTCGCAATGTCTCTTGATGTAATTTTGATCTTGGTGGCAGCTTCATTGGCAAAATGTACCTCTGTGTTTCATTGGTATAACGTGTATTGACTTGTGTAGGTATTCATGTAGCACAGGAATAACAGGTTTCCAACTGAAGCTAGCTAAATTACAGTGACAGAACTCTGATAATGCTAAGCTACTGTATGCTCTTACTTAATATCCCAGAACACCTTGGCTTTGCTTGGCTTGCCAGTTTCACTTCTGTCAGACTGTTGAGTGATTGATCGGTTGTAGATGTTGTTGATGTTGTGTGTAATGCCGCTTTCAAGACAACTGGGAACTTGGAACTCGGAAATCTCCAACATACGATTTAGTGCGTTCAAGACAAATGGGACCTCAGGGAAAAACGGTAATCCAATTCGGAATTCCAAGTCGGAAACTCTGGGATCATCCTAGAGCTCCAACTTCTCCGACCTGAAGATCACTGACGTCACTACGTGACCTTGTTTATTTCCCAGAGTTCCCAGTTGTCTTGAAAGCACCATTATTATGCTATGAGGGAATGATAGTGCTAGCTAATGTTGGTACTGTAATGGCTGGTAATGGCTGGTATTGACCAAAGCTAACATTAGTTTTAGAACACTGTTGTGGCTAAGACCATTAGCACTGGTCCGGTGTCTCCAGTGTCCTAGACTCTTACAGTAGCTATGGGTAGCTAGCTAAATCACAGAAGTTAAAGCTAAAGGTAAGGCTAAGAGTAGCAGCTAAAGGCAGCTAAATGTAGCTGAGGGAAGCTAAATAAGCTAAGGGTAGCTAAATGAAGCTAAGGGTAGCAGCTAAATGTAGCTAAGGGAAGCTAAATACGCTAAGGGTGGCTAAATTAATCTAAGGGTAGCAACTAAATGTAGCTGAAGATAGCTAAATGAAGCTAAGGGTAGCAGCTAAATGTAGCTGAAGGAAGCTAAATGAGATAAGGGTAGCTAAATAAGCTAAGGGTAACTCAAATTAATCTAAGGGTAGCAGCTACATGTAGCTGAAGGAAGCTAAATAAGCTAAGGGTAGCTAAATAAGATAAGGGTAGCTAAATTAATCTAAGGGTAGCAGCTACATGTAGCTGAAGGAAGCTAAATAAACTAAGGGTAGCTAAATAAAGCCAAAGGTACCATAGCTAATGCTAGCCTAAAAGTGAATGCATTCCTCTGAGCTAAGTGGGACATTTTTGTCCGTCTCATCAGGAAAATCCTTGGTAAAGGAGGGAGCAAGTCAATTCCATGACCATTACTCACTTCACAAGCTAGACTTTTCCAGTCTGCTGTCTGTGTCAGAACTGAACTATTTTCTTTGAGTATTAAACACACAGCCCTCTAACTTTATCTTGCAAAAACAGACGTTCCATTTCCTCCACTAACTCCCTACTGCACTTCGTGTGTGTGTGTGTGGCGTGCGTGCGTGCGTGAGCGTGTGAGCGTGTGTGCGTGCGTGTGTGTGTCCAGAGTAATTGTTCTTAAGGTCGAAGGTGCAGAGAATAATACATTGTCATCTGAGGTTGTGTTGTGGTGCCAGAGGGAGACAGATGATCTCCAGGGTGTGTGTGTGTACGTGCACATGCATGTATGTGTGTACGTACATGTGTGCACGCATGTGTGTATGTGTCTCTCTCTCCCTTCTCTCTCCTCTTCTCTCTCCTCCTCTCAGGGTTTGACCCATGTCCAGCATTTGGTGGAAACTCTGAGTGCTGCCTTGCCTCCCCAGTGTGTGTGTGTGTGTGTGTGTGTTGCTTCCTTCCCCTCTTCTTCGACATTCTTCTGCCTTTATGATTGTTCCCAGCAACCTTGTGTGTGTGTGTGTGTGTGTGTGTGTGTGTGTCCTTCTGTGATGTAGCACTACATGATATCTTTGTGACAAAGTTTCCAGCAGAACAAACTCTCCCCCAGCCACAGTACCCTTATCATCATGGCTGGACTGTGTTTCCAGCCTGGGCCCAAGCCAGAGCCCAACAACACTGTGTGTGCGTCCGTCCCGTGTGTGTGTGTTGCGTCGGCCATTTTGTGAAATGTCATTAGGAATGTAGCAATGATTAGTGACTGCATGTAGATGGTATGTGTTCATGGTTTGTAAATAACGCTTCCACAAATCCAATGATTCCATAACTCAATAGGCCTATGTAGTTTCCCACCACTACACGTCACCACAGAAGGTTTTCAAAGTTAATAGGCCTATGTAGTTTCCCACCATCACACGTAACCACAGAAGGTTTTCAATGTTTTCATACATCAGAAGCAGTCCTGAGTAAACCCTTGAGCAAGGCACTAAACCCTAATTGCTCCTGTAAGTCGCTCTCGCTAAAATGACTAAAATGAAAAATCTACAGGCCTCAATCCCAAAAGAATGGGAAAAAAACCTAACAAGCTGAACATTCCCTTTAGGATACCACTTACTCAGTCTTACAGGCTGTAAGGGCCTGATAATATTGACGTTGGGTAGAAACTAATAAGTAGCGTAAAGAAATCACAAGGTTCTGTTGTGCATCGCCAACATTCCAAACTAACGGGTGAGTTGTCATGGTAACCTACCAGAATAGAACCTGTGATGAGTGTCGGTTTGTGAGAGAGAGAGAGAGAGAGAGAGAGAGAGAGTGAGGGAGGAGAGTAGAGGAGAGAGAGACGAGAGATGGAGGAGATGAGAGCGAGAGGAGGAGAGACGAGATGAGGATGGAGAATCGAGAGAAGAGAGGAGAGAGCTGGGACAGGAGTAGAGAGAGAGATGTACGAGAGAGAGGGATGGAAGACACCGAGCTGTAGAGGAATGAGAGAGAGAGAGAGACGAGGGACGACGAGATGAGACGAGAGAGGGGACGAGGAGCACTGAAGATGCAGAAGAGAAAGAGAGAAGAGTCCGAGAGCAGAGAGCTGTAGAGAAAAAGAGGAGAAGCACGTTGAAGAGAGAAGGATCTGGAAGTCTATTTGAGTCGCACAGGATTAGCACGACATTGTTTCCAAGGAAAAGGAAAAAAAAAGATTTAAAGGGCCAAAAAGGGAAATAAAATAGGTAAAGCCTTGGAAACCCTTTTGGGGTAAGGGGAAACAGGGTGGTTGGGGATGAAAAAAAAAAGTTTTGGAAAAGGGAAAAGAAGGAAGGAAGGAACAAGAAAGAACTTGGAGGCGTTGTGAAGATGGTAGAGTTTGGTTAAACGCCGAGAAGCGAGATTGGGGGAAGGAAACCCTTTTCGGGGGCTGTAAGGGGGGGTTTGCCAATGCGGGTTTTTCGTTTTGAGGGAAAAGAAAAAAGGAACGAGTGAGAAGGGAGGTAGTACGGGAAGCCTTTTGGGGGAAAGTGGGCCGAGAAGAAGGGAGAGAAGAATCCGGGAGGAACCCCAAGAGTGGATGGGCGAAAAATGGGAAACGAGAGGGAAGCTTGGGAGAGAGATAGAGTAGAGGAGAGAGCCGAGTGGATGGGAAGAGATAAGATCCCTATGAGTAGAGACGTCCGAGAGGTAAAGTGAGCAGTTCTCACCGTAGAAGCAATCAGAAGAGCGAGTAATGAGAAGGCACTCTATGTCCGAGCCTCCGCAAGAGCTAAAATTAAAAAGGCCGAAGCGGAAAAAACCAACAAGCTGAAATTCCCGAGAGAGTACACGACTCAGACTTACAGGCTGAAGAGGGCCGAGAGATATGCGAGTGGGTAGAAGACGAATAAGAGCGAAAGAAAGACAGAGCCAGTGTCTGATAGGCAGACGAAAAGACGCAGAAAAGAAGAAGGAGAGAGGATGGATGAGATAGAGATGAGAGAGAGCGAGAAGAGGAGCAGGATGGAGAGAAGAAAGGAGAGAGAGAGGAGAGGGAGAGATGAGAGAGGAGGAGAGAGAGTATTCGAGAGAGGGGGGGGGAAGAGGGAGAGAGGAAGAGAGATGAGAGAGAGAGGGAGAGCGAGAGAGGAGAGAGAAGGAGGAGAGAGAGACGAGGAGGATGAGAGAGACGAAGAGGAGGACGGGCGAGAGAGAGGAGAGAGAGAGAGAGAGAGAGAGAGAGAGAGAGAGAGAGAGAGAGAGACAGAGAATGAAAAATAGGCATTTTGACATAAATGTGAACCACTCCTAAACTATTAGCTATTAATAAAGATAATTAAATATCTCAACATACCACATCTGTTTTGAATGATGAACGTACTGTTCATGAGTTCCTTTCTCTAACTTCTTATCACACACTTTCCTTTTTACACCCTCTCATTTTCTTTCTCTCCTTCCCTACTCGCCTAACTTCCTCCCTCTACCCTCTCTCTCTCTGTAGGAGGAGAATGAAATCCCAACCAGTGTGTTTGTCAAGGATCCTGTTCCTTTCCCCCGTGAAGCTGAGGAGGGGGAGGAGCCCACCGCCGTCATCGACGCCAACCGCTCCACGGAGGAGGGGCTTCACACCATCGACCTATCCTCGGACGAGGACGTAGGGCTGGAGGCGGACCTGGACGAGGTGGGAGATGGCATATACGAGCTGGCCGGAGAGCACACAGACAAATCCCGCGCGGATAAGTTCAAACGCTCCAGTCTAAAGAAGGTGAGTGATGGAGAAAGCTGGGGTTAGGTGTCAAAGTTCATGGGTGAGAGGTTAGGGGTCAAGGTCATGTTCTGTGGCCGCGTGGCGTGTTCACTGCTGACTTTTGATGTATTGCAGATGGACAGTCTAAACAAAGCTTAAGATCAGGGGTCAGGGGTCGGAGGTTAGGGGTAAGGGTTAGGAGATGTCCTGCTATGTACTGACTGCATGGGTTTGTACAACGTATTGCAGGTGGACAGTCTGAAGAGGGCCTTCTCCAAAGCGAATATTGAGAAGAAGATGAACAAGATTGTGTCTCAGGAGAAACGAGAGAAGATGAAGAAGAGCCTGACACCCAACCACCCAAAGAGCTCCTCCTTCAAAGTGTCCCCTCTCACCTTCAGCATCAAGAAGGTCAGTACACACACACACACACACTTGTAGTATGTACACACACACACACACACAAACACTCACACTGTTGTGGATTCATCTGACACGACTACATCCTGCTGTAACAGAATCGTAAGTCTGAGGGCCAACCTGAAGCTGAAGCCGAGGTGGAGGCCTCATCCCAGACCGGGGTCTCGCCTACCGCCGTGGCCTCTATCGAGATCTCCCCGCTGGCCAGCCCTGACGAGGAGGTCCTATTCACCGAGGTGCACTCCCAACTGGCTCCGGGGCTGGAGGAGTCCAAGGCTGAGGCTGATGCTTTGGAGACGGAAGAGGTGGCCGTCAGTGAAGTTCCAGAATCTGACGAAATTCCAGAATCCAACGTTTTCTCTGATTCCAAACCGTTCGTAGAATCCGACGTTCCTGAGGCGGATGTGGATCTGTCGGTTATGACGGAGGGAGTGAGCGAGGAGTACGCTCTCTCTGCCACGCTCCCACAGGATGCCTTCCACTCTACCTCGCCCTTCGATGAGGAAGACAGGGAGGACAAAGTGCAGAGGGAGAAAGAGTAGGAGAAGGAAGGAGAGAAGGATGTGTAGAAAGAGGTGGAGGAGAAGGAAGAGGAGATAGAGGTGGAGGAGAAGGAAGAGGAGATAGAGGTGGAGGAGAAGGAAGAGGAGATAAAGATGGAGGAGAAGGAAGAGGAGATAGAGGTGGAGGAGAAGGAAGAGGAGATAGAGATGGAGGAGAAGGAAGTAGAGAAGGAGTTGGAGAAGGAGGGGAGCCTTGTGGAAGAGGAGGCCCAGCCTGAGGCTGTCAAAGGCCCCTAAAACAAACACACACAAAATAAATACACATATACCTAATCCCTAACATACTTACCCATTCTCACTCCCACACACTCTGTCCATCATCCTCTAAAAAACTCAGACGGACCCTCTGTTCAAAACACACACACACATACAATTATAGTTCCTTTCTGTGTGTGTCTTCCTGTATGTCATTGTGTGCAATTTGTGTGTGTGTGTGTGTGTGTGTGTGTGTGTGTGTGTGTGTGTGTGTGTGTGTGTGTGTGTGTGTGTGTGTGTGTGTGTGTGTGTGTGTATGTGTATGTGTGTGTGTGTGTGGGCATGTGTGCGTGCGTGCGTGTGTGTGTTTGCGTCAGGGGCAGATGTCTGTTTCACATGTGAAAAAGGATGATGAAGTTCTTAAAAAGGTTTAATTATCTTCTTATGCTACTGCTTAAAGTTTAAACCTAAACGTATATTTGTGTATGTAAGATGCTAACTTTGTTTGACCTAATATATACAATTCAAGCCAATCAGTACAACACAAAGATTTTTGGTATCCATTAGTGTCCGTTACAGGTTTGCCTATACAAAACACCGCCATAGATCTTTCCACTAACCTGGTATTGGCGATACCCTCTTCAATCTCGATTCAGGAAAACAGATATTTTAGAAATGTTTCTATCCAGTTGCAGGTGGTTCTACAAAAACCAGAGAAAACTCAGATAGTAAATCCATGTTTTGTACTGCGCGAGGAGGATCCTCTCCATCTTAGCTGCCGGACATCTAGAATTTCCCAGCATCTTTGACGGAACTAGTCATTTCTATGCGACGTAGCCGCGGCCAGACAGCGCATCACGTTAAAACAAAGATCTACACACATCAATACAAAACTCTTTCAGAGTTTTCTCTGGTGCTTGTAGAACCACCTGCAACTGGAGATGGACATTTCTAAGATAACTGCTTTCCAGAATCGAGAAAGAAGACAGTATTGCCTACACCAGGTTAATTGAAGAATCCATGCCAGTGTTTTGTATAGGCATATCTGTAACTCCCAGTAATGGATACCAAAAATATTTGGTTATATCACATTATCTGGTGTACAATCTGTAGCTATCATAATACATGATCCTCGAATATCTTAGTACTGTATCATCTCTCAGTGAATTTATTGAAAACATAGAGATAGATAGCATGGCAATAGTTGATAATAAAACATTATAAGGGTTCATACCACAGGAGGATGGTGGCACCTTAATTTGGGAGGACAGGCTCCTGGTAATGGCTCGAGCAGAATAAGGGGATTGATATCAAATGCACCAAACACATGGTTTCCATGTGTTTGCTGCCATTCCATTCACTCCGTTCCAGCCATTATAATGAGCCGTCCTCCCCTCAGCAGCCTCCACTGGTTCATACATACTGTACAACAAGTAATAATGCATTATTGTATATCTGTTGGCTTCAAATGAAGTGTTACTGAAGTAGTGCTTATTTCACTGAAAATTATCTCTGGTGCCAAAGAAACTCCTCTTCAATATATTTTCCAGATTGTTAAAACTGTGATTGTCATGTTTCTTGCTCTTATTAAAAAAACAGCTATCTCCAGAATCCTTAGAATTCTAAATAAAAACAGCATTGAAACTGTCCTCCTTCTCCTCTTTATTTCCTCCTGTTGGGGATTTGTTTATTTGGATTAGGTTAGATTATAGATAAATAGATTAGAAATTAGACAGCTATTGGTCATCCTGTTCATTACAGCCACAGCGTGTCATATTCCCAGTCATTTCAAGTAATAAAATACACCCTGTGAATTTGAGCTATATGATCGAGTGCTATTGCATGTGAAGATGTGCTCCGGGCTCACGGACTACCTTCCACTCTTTAATGGTGTGATGGAAAATGTTGCTGCTTTTCTAATAAACCATTTCTGTGTTCTATGTTTGTGCTTTTCTAATAACCAATTTCTGTGTTCATGCAAGTGACTGATTGAATGAATCCTCACTATCAGTATCTGCAATTTGGCAGTACGCCCAGAACCTTGTTTTGAGAACGAAAGGATATCTCAGTTTCAAGGTCTCAGCTTAGAGAAGAAGCCTCGTGAGGTATTGGTCTGTCACATGCATGAACCAGTATTGGTCAGTCACATGCATGAACCAAACGTTAATTATGAATTAATTATGAATGATAAGATAAATCATACCTATGTAACGTGTCTGTGAGCAGTACATAAGAGATCTAACGGGACTGCCCCGATAGAGCTCCTGACAGATGTGTACTATGGTGCATCAAGTTTGCTGGAACCTCTCCAGTTAACTGTTGATAAACAATGATTCATTTAAGATTGACTTTGAGTGTCACTGTGTAGAATTTCCACGACAATGGCATGTACAGTATGCACACATCTCAAGAAACTGTAACAGGCTATCATAACCTGTCCAGTAGATAGCCAAATTTTGGCCTATTCAAAGCTCTGAGAGTCAGACCTGGTCAAATTAGGTCAAACTTGAACGTATTGAAGCGATTTCGAGGGGTTGCCCCGACCGGGACTCAAAACACGAGTCCAGTTGACTGTCAAGACAACACCTTAACTGTTACGCCAAGAGGTTCAAACCTCTTGACGAGGTCGCTAGGAGAGTGTGTCCCCACGCTTCTCTATACCAAGTCCCTCACGTGTACCCGCCTCAACGATGGCTTCACAGGCACCATCCCACTTTTGACACCAGTGTAGCGATTTCAGGGGTAGCCCAGACTGGGACTCGAACCCAGGTACAGCGACTGTCAAGACAACACCTTAACCGTTACGCGGAGATGTCCGAACCTCTTGATGAGGTTGCTAGGTGCTGGACAGTAGCGGTGCATAGGTAAAATCACTGGGGAAGCCAAGCCAGGGAAAAAAAGCAATATTACAATCTATATGTTGTGATAATTGTGTTGTTTGCTCTATAACCTGTTAGTTCATATGCCTTGACACCGTGATATATAAGCCTAAGGCCGAGACAATAAGAAGACACAGTGGCAGAATAAATTCAACCACACCTTTGTTTCATCACAAAACCGGAGAGCAACATCTGTCCGGTGGAGTCCACAAAGCAAATTGTGTAACAAATAGCTCCATGACCTACAGCATGATCAATCAAGTTTCCAAAATGTTCGGACTACTAAACAACTATTGATTTAGAACACTAGAGAGGTACCACAAGTCGCAAAGAAAATAGGAGCTGCCTCCACTATTCCAGCACCTTTTATACTTCATAATTTCAACATCATCCAAATCACCTCTGCTTAGTCTAATACAGTGACAACTAAACGATTCCCAAAAACAATTTAGTCCAATCAGCGTAAGCTATATATCATGTAGCTGTCCATGGTATTGATTTCTGTCTGGGCCCAGCCAATCAGAATGAATAAAGTGACGTTGGAGGCGGCTTATGGTAGATAAATTAACATTCAATTCTCTGGCAACAGCTCTGGTGGACATTTATGCAGTCAGCATGTCTATTTTACGCTCCCTCAAAACTTGAGACATCTGTGGCATTGTGTTGTGTGACAAAACTGCACATTTTAGAGTGGCCTTTTATTGTCCCCATTACAAGGTGCACCTGTGTAATGATCATGCTGTTTAATCAACTTCTTGATATGCCACACCTGTCAGGTGGATGGATTATCTTGGCAAAGGAGAAATGCTCACTAACAGGGATGTAAATATGTGCACAGAATTTGAGCTAAATAAGCTTTTTTTTTTTTTGTGGGTACTTTTTGCATGTTGCGTTTATATTTTTGTTCAGTATACATTATCACAGCATATTGGCAATATGCCTGGCTGGCCAATATTGTTATTCTCAGACCATATTATATTTCAAAACTCAACCTTTGATAACAAAATAGATCAGTCGGTGTAGCACTTGCGAGGCACAGCTGAGCATAAATTGAAATAATTTGCTAATAATTTGCTTTTTATTTGACTGGACCTACATCTGTAACGGTGCTTTCAAGACAACTGCGGATTCTGAAGAAAAATAGGTCAAATCATGACGTCATCTTCAGGTCGGAAAGTCGGAGCTCAAGAAAGATGCCAGAGTTTCCCACTTGGAATTCTGAGTTGGATGACCGTTCAAAGCGATATTTCCCAGTCGGATCTCGTTTTTTTCAGAGTTCCCAGTTGTGAAGTTGGAAGTCTGAGATTAGGTCAAACAGATTTCAGGTAAAACAGAAGTCTGAGACGCACTGAAGTCAGAAGTCTGAGATTTCCCAGTTCCAAGTTGTTTTGAACACGGCATTAGTCTCAGCGGAGGGAGGGAAAGGGCAGCAGAAGGTCCGTCTCTCACGGTCCCTGCTCTCTCCTTCCTTTCCTCCAGTGAATCTGACCAGAGAGAGGGGACACCGTCTTCCACCTGATGGCGAAACTCGAGTCACACCGCATCTGCCTCATGCACAAATTCACGTTGTTCCTATGACCAGAGAAAGTGAAATATTCCTTGATATTAAAATAGACATGAAGAGCTGCTAATAATAATAAAAACGCAGGGCTATCGATTCACTTGGCTACTCAATCATTGCAGCTGCAGCACCAGTGGAAGTAGGGAAAAGCGTGTTTTATGTTTTGTAATAGTGTTGAGTAAAAACAGTGCTGACAGTCCAGAATAAAAACATATACTCACTCATAACAACAGCAGCTCTTTGCTGTATCCTTTGAAAGTCTCTCTCTCTGGTCATTGTCTTAAAAGTTATAAAATCTTACATAGGCTAGTATCAAACTTTGCTCTGGCAGGGGTTGTGGAAGCTGTAGTCACAGTGATTTGAGTTATCCAATTGAACAGTGTAGGAGCACTCGATTTAGCCACAGATCTCCCGGTCCGCCGGTTAGGCAAAGTCTTTTCAATAAATGGTTTAAAATGGGACCACTTTGCCCACCTGGTGCACAGGGCTTCTGAATCAAGTGCACTTACCGCCAACAGCACAACAGGTAAAAAGGAGAGCAAGCCTTTCTGCCTTTATTATTGGCTTTTCTACAGAAATGTTTCATGATCTACTAGGAATGTCTTGAAGATCGACCGGTCGACTGGTTGGCGACCACTGGCTTAGAGTTTGCATTTTTGCTTTCCTACTAAATTAACAGCTAAATGACATATTTTTATAACTGAACCAAGATAGACAACAGCCAGTCGTTTCAAACGGGAACAAATGAGTCATAGTGGGCAGAAACAGCAAGGAGGTGGGCAGAGCCAAGCACGAGCTAACGAGATCCTATTGGCGTATTGTAGCATACATTTGCATACTGACGTTAGGGAACTCTGTAAAGTGAGTGTGTGCAATAACTCAATTCGCCTTTGCACTCCTTCTAAACAATGCCATTTTTTACAACTTTAGCAAAGAGTAAAGACTACAAAACTTTGTCCACTATGTTCGGAACATATTCTAGTTTTGGGAACAGAAAACTGTATTGATGTTTCATCGATGAGAAAATGTGAAGAATGTCGGTCAAAATCCATCTCGTTCCAGCTTCTCCCACTGCCGGACACTTGGCTTCCTACTCACTACCATATTTGGTAGTGAGTGGAAACGCCAAGCGGAGGCTTCACATTTATACATCCTGTGAAATATCTGTTTCATTGTTCTATCTGTGGCCAAACACAAACTGCAGTCTCCAACCAGTTGCTGTCGGTAATGAACGGGTTTCCTCCGCCGTCGTAAAGAGAAGAAGAAAACCCGGAACTAGGCTGCTCTCCACAAAACGTCAGATGAAAAGCGAATCTTAACAATAACAAATACACACCCCACTGATAACAGCCACCCGAATAATTATACACACCGTATGCCAGGGTTATAACTTACGGGGGGGAAGCATGGCATTTATAACGGCAAACTGGAATCCGCTCGGGGAAGCGTTTTACAGGTAAGCAGGTTTTAGCTAGCTAGCTGTGTTAGCTTGTTCACATGACCAGAGTCTTTGCAAAATGCTAACGTTAGCTAGCTAGATACAAATAAATGACAGCTCTATCAGACTGGTAATAAAGCCATGTTCCTTCCTTGCTATTTGCCGTAATGCTTTGTTCAGTAAAAATAAAGTAAGTTCAATATTATTAGCTAATGCCCTGCAATAATTTGGACTTCTCTTGCATGCCATCTAGCAAATCATGTGACAACTGTCATTACTTTTTAGGTTGACTCTGTCATGTGCGTGCGTGTGTGTGTGTGTGTGTGTGTGTGTGTCCACTCTACAGGAAGATCGAGCTGTATGAGATGGGATGGAGCTTGAGAGATGGGCTCAAGGAATGCCTGGTGGCAGCAGCCCCATACGGGGGACCCATCGGTGAGTACACACACACACACACATACCGATATGATGGAGCCTGGAGAAGGCAGCCGAGCAGAGAGAATTACTTATACAATTTAGAGAAACTCACATTCTTGCAAAATATTTATAATCTACAACATATGTATTCTAACCACATAGCTAATTAAAGAAGTATGTTTATCTCTCTCTCTCCATCTCTCCCTCCCTCCCTCGCTCCATCTATTTCCCTTCGTCACCATCTCTCCCTCAGCTCTCCTGAGGCAGCCACAGAGGCCTTCCTCCAGCGCACGGCCCCTGCTGGAGATCTACTCCTCCTCGGGCGCCAACATGGCCAGCTTCCCGGTACACACACACACACACACACACACACACACACACACACACACACAAACAAACACTTATTCACTCAAGTCACTCTCTCTTTCTCTGTCCTTCCCTCCCTTTCTCCTTCCCTCCATCCCTCTCCTCCGTTCTTCTCCTCCGTCCCTCTCGTTTCTCCAGTGGAAGAGTGGCCCAGTGAGACAGCTGGGTTGGACGGTGTGTGATGACCTGCTGTGTATCCAGGAGGACGGCACTGTCCTCATCTACGACCTGTTTGGTGCCTTCAAAAGACACTTCAGCATGGGCAACGTGAGCACACATAACACAACAAACATGCCACAAACATGATAAAAACATGATAATCCATCTTACGTGTGTGTGTGTGTGTGTCTTTGACAGGAGGTGGTTCAGAACCATGTGCTGGAAGCCAAGGTGTTCCACTCGCCCTACGGAACCGGTGTCGCCATAGTAACGGGGGCCTCACGTTTCACACTGGCGACGAACATTGACGACCTGAAGCTGAGGAGACTCCCGGAAGTCCCAGGTGTGTGTGCGTGTGAAATCCTGTCAGGCTTCAAGTTCCAAATGAATGGAAACATTTGTCACTATTTAATTGATTAATTGGCGTGTGTTTGTGTACTCCAGGCCTCCAGGTGGCACCCTCCTGCTGGGCAGTGCTGACTCAGGACAGACAGACCAAAGTGCTGCTGGCCAACGGAGCTGACCTCTACATACTGGACAACACATCTTGCACCCCTGTGGTGAGACACACACGCAACGTATTCATTACTGTCTCTAATCATCCTTGCTCTCTCACCTCTAACTGTGTGTGTGTGTTTCAGACCCCCCCAGGCCTCTCTCCCCAGGCCTGTAGCATCGTGAACATGGCTGTGTCATTCAGCTATAAGTACCTGGCTCTGTTCACCGACTCTGGACACCTGTGGATGGGCTCAGCCAACCTCAAGGTAACATGGATTACTATCCCTCATACTGTATGGCTCCCTGATGTGACTAGCTTCCATTATTATATATCTATTATCTATTGTCTATACACACCAGTGGTCCTCAACCCATCCAGGCAATTCCAGTCTTATCACAGGTTATCTAGGTTGCCAGGCAACTGTAGAGTGTAAATAGCTCTGGTGTGGGGGAGTGCTGACCATTTTGGGCCAATAGTTTTTTCCTGGTCAAGTTATGTAGTCAGGAGAAGCCATGGCCCTGTATATCAGACATGTCTAATGTAGATGTGTATTATGGTAGTCTGCTACTGACTGTTGTTTGTTCCCCAGGACAAGCTGAGTGAGGTGGACACCAAGGTGAGGACCCCTCCTAAACAGATGGTGTGGTGCAGAAGGCCAAAGAGCCAGCAGCCCTCTGTGGTCATCATGTGGGACAGGCTCCTCCTGGTGGCCGGAGAGTGTAAAGACACCATCCAGTATCCTTCAGCTCACAGCAGCACTATGACAGGACATTACATCCAAGTTAACTCAGCTAGCTAGTTCCTGTTAGCTCAGCTAGCTTGTTCCTGTTAACTTGTTACTGTTAAAGGTACAGAACTATGACAGGACATTATATCCAAGTTAGCTCAGCTAGCTAGTTCCTGTTGGCTTGTTACTGTTAACGGTACAGTTAGCAATATGGTATTAAATCTACAGTTAGCAATTCTGCTCACAGACATCAACACAAGCATAATTCAACTCTGTCACTGATCCAAATGCGTGCACTCTCATGGAGCCTTCACCAGTGTTTAGATACACTCTGGATGAGGAGAGTGTGTGTATAGCGGAGCTGGATGGAGTGAGGATCGTAGGAGGGTCCAGGCATGAGCTGCTGCAGGAGGTGCCCTCGGCCTGCCAAGACATCTTTAAAATCGCCTCCATGGCCCCTGGAGCGTTACTACTGGAGGCACACAAGGAGTACGAGGTACGTGTCTGGCCGTGTGACTGTAAGAGGTTTACACTTTATTGTATATATGTATTGGAGGTGATGTACGAAGACTGTACGCTAACTGTGTGTGTGTGTGTGTAGAAGTCCAGTCAGAAGGCAGATGAGTACCTGAGAGAGATAAAGGAACAAAGTGTATTGGGAGAAGCAGTGAGACAGTGTGTGGAGGCTGCCGGTTATGAACATGAACCAGAGACCCAGAAAACACTGCTCAGGGTAAGACACACACTATCTCACTCTACCTCTACCGCTCTTTCTCTCTCTACCTCTCTCTCTCTCTCTCTCTCTCTCTCTCTCTCTCTCTCTACCTCTCTCTCTCTCTCTCTCTCTCTCTACCTCTCTCTCTCTCTCTCTCTCTCTCTCTCTCCTCTCTCTCTCTCTCTCTCTCGCTCTCTCGCTCTCTCGCTCTCTCGCTCTCTCGCTCTCTCTCTCTCTTTCTCTCTCTCTCTCTCTCTCTCTCTCTTTCTCTCACGGTCTCTAACTTATTTTCTCTCTCCCATCTATGCCTGCATGTTATGTTGACAAGATCAAAATGAGTCAGTCCACAGATAAATTCATGTCCCCCCCTCCCCCCTCTTTTCCTCTCTCCCTCCCTCACCCTCCCTCTCCCTCTCTCCCTCCCTCTAGGCTGCGTCCTTTGGGAAGTGTTTTCTCAGTAACTACCCACCAGAGCCATTTGTCAATATGTGTCGAGACCTGAAGGTTCTCAACTCTGTACGAGACTACACCGTGGGGATCCCCCTCACACACACACAGTACAAACAGATGACTGTTCAGGTCCTCATTGACAGGTAACACCCCAGGTGTGTGTGTGTGTTTACGGTGTGTGTGTGTGTGTGTGTTTACTCTCTGTACACTCGTGTTAAACAGGTTGGTGTACCGTCAGCTGTATCCTCTGGCCATTGAGATCTGTCGCTATCTGAAAACCCCAGAGTACCAGGGAGTCAGCAGAGTTCTCAAACACTGGGCCTGCTGCAAGGTGAGACAGAGGGGCTGATTTTACTGTTCAATTTTACTATTTGCATAAATGTGGGTGTGTGTCAGCGTATGTATGTTCTTAACATGCTCTGACAGGTCCAGTGCTGTGAAAAAGGATTTGCCAACATTCAAATGTTCTCTACTTTTGCATATTTTTGGTACTGAATGTTATCAGATCTTCAACCAAAACCTAATATTAGATCAAGTGAACAAATAACACAACAATTACATACTTATTTCATTTATTTAATAAACAAAGTTATGCAACACCCAATGCCCCTTTGTGAAAAAGTAATTGCCCCCTTACACTCAATAACTGGTTGTGCCACCTTTAGCTGCAATGACTTCAACCAAACGCTTTCTGTAGTTGTTGAGCAATCTCTCACATCGCTGTGGAGGAAATTTGGCCCACTCTTCCATGCAGAACTGCTGTAACTCAGCGACATTTGTGGGTTTAACAAGCATGAACTGCTCGTTTCAAGTCCTGCCACAACATCTCAATTGGGATTAGGTCTGGACTTTGACCAAAAAAGTTATACTTTTGAATAATCTGTCCATATAACATTCTTCCAAGAGTCTTGATGATTATCCAGGTGCTTTTTGGCAAACTTGAGTCAACTTTTTGGACGAGATGGGTCCCATTATGCCTGGCGAAAACCAAACACTGCATTTCACAGTAAGAACCTCATACCAACGGTCAAGCATGGTGGTGGTAGTGTGATGGTTTGGGGATGCTTTGCTGCCTCAGGACCTGGACGACTTGCCTTAATAGAAGGAACCATGAATTCTGCTCTGTATCAGAGAATTCTACAGGAGAATGTCAGACCATCCGTCTGTGAGCTGAAGCTGAAGCACAGCTGGGTCATGCAGCAAGACAATGATCCAAAACACAATTAAGTCTACATGAAAATGGCTAAAAAGCAACACATTTGAAGTTTTGGAATGGCCTAGTCAAAGTCCAGACCTAATCCCAATTGAGATGTTGTGGCAGGACTTGAAACGAGCAGTTCATACTTGAAAAACCACAAGTTAAAGCAGATCTGCATGCAAGAGTGGGCCAAAATTCCTCCACAAGTGATGTGAGAGACTGATCAACAACTACAGGAAGCGTTCGGTTGGAGTCATTGCAGCTAAAGGTGGCACAACCAGTTATTGAGTGTAAGGGGACAATTACTTTTTCACACAGGGGAATTGGGTGTTGCGTAACTTTGTTAAATAAATAAAATAAGTATCCATTTTTTTTGTTATTTGTAAACTCAGGTTCCCTTTATCAAATATTAGGTTTTGGTTGAAGATCTGATAACATTCAGTATCAAAAATAGAGAAAATCAGAAAGGGGGGAAAATAGTTTTTCACGGCACTGTATCTCTTGAGATTGAAATAAAATGTGTGTGTGTGTGTCTCAGGTCCAGCAGAAAGAAGAGCCTGATGAGTCCATAGCGCGTGCTGTGAGTGTGAAGCTGGGTGAGGCAGCAGGAATCTCCTACTCTGAGATCGCTGCCAGAGCATACGAGTGTGGCAGGACGGAACTGGCCATCAAGGTACTGCACATGCACACACACACACACACACACACACACCAGCAGGCCTGAACTGACTATCAAGGTCCACCCACGCCCTAGCCTCACGTGCTTCCAACACAAGAGAAAGTGATTAAGGCACAAATGCCTTTGGAGGCATAATGGATGTCTGGATCCACCTCACTACTCTCCCCCTCACACTCGTGCTCAACTATCATCCACCCATCCACCTCTTCCAGCCCACTCCTCCACACAGGCACTCTCGACTCTCAATCCTCCACCCTCTGCTTCATCCAAGTATACTTGCACCTCTCTGTGCATCCTTCACCTCTCACCTCTCATGCCTTCTCTCACCTCACTCTCCCCCTCTCTCCTTCCACCTCTACCTCTCGCCCCTCCTCCTCCACCTCTCCACCTCTTCTCTGCCCCTCTCTCCTTCCACCTTCCACTTCTCGCCCCTCTCTCCTTCCACCTCTCCACCTCTTCTCGCCCCTCTCTCCTTCCACCTCTCCACCTCTTCTCGCCCCTCTCTCCTTCCACCTCTTCTCGCCCCTCTCTCCTTCCACCTCTTCTCGCCCCTCTCTCCTTCAACCTCTCCACCTCTTCTCGCCCCTCTCTCTGGGTCTAGTTGTTGGAGTTTGAGCCTCGTTCTGGGGAGCAGGTCCCCCTGCTACTAAAGATGAAGAGGAGTCAGCTGGCCCTGAGTAAAGCTATAGAGAGTGGAGACACAGACCTGGTTTACACGGTGGTGACATACCTGAAGAACGAGATGAACAGAGGAGACTTCTTCATGACGCTCAGAAACCAACCGGTGGCCCTGAGCCTCTACCGGCAGGTATAGTCACAGATACTCACACTCACACACAACTTAGCCTCTACACACAGGTACACACGCACGAAAGGTGGATTCATCTGTGTGTGTGTGTGTGTGTGTGTGTGTGTTTTAGTTCTGTAAGCACCAGGAACAGGACACACTGAAGGATCTGTTCAACCAAGACGACGACCATCAGGAGCTGGGTAACTTCTACGTCAAGGCCAGTTACAAGGAGAAGAAGCTGGAGGCTCGCCTGTCTCTGCTGCAGAGTGCTGTGGACGAGTACAACAAGGCCAAGAACGAGTTTGGAGCCAAGGTGAGACCCAGACAGTTTTAAGTGCATGTTTGGTTTCACCAGGCTCTGAATAGCATTAGCCCCTTGGACCAAAAATGAACATCTAAATTAGATCATGACAATGTTCTCAAAGTGTTGTCTCATTATTATAGTGTTGTCTCATCCCTTCCTCTCTCCCTCGCTCTCTCTCCCCCCCCCCCTCTCCCCCCCCTCTCTCTCTCCGCTCCGTCTCTCTCTTTCCCTATCCCTCTCTCTCTCCCCCGCTCCCTCTCTCTCTCTGTCTGTCTCTCTCCCTATCCCTCGCTCTCTCTCTCTCCCTCGCTCTCTCTCTCCCTCGCTCTCCCCCTCTCTCTCTCCCCCCCACTCTCTCTCTCTATCTCTCTCCCTCTCTCTCTGTCTCCCCCGCTCTCTCTCCCCCCCCCCCGCTCCCTCTCTCTCCCCCCCCTCTCTCTCCCCCCGCTCTCTCTCTCCCCGCATCGCTCTCTCTCTCTCTCTCTCTCTCTCTCTCTCTCCCCCCTCCCCCCAGGCGACGGAGGAGGAGATGAAGCTGCTGCGGTTCCAGAGGCGTCTGGATGAGGAGAAGGGAGAGGCTCTGCTGGGCCTGTCTCTCCAGGAGACCCTGCACGCCCTCCTCACCTCTAACTTCCACAAGCAGGCTGAGCAGCTCTACAGGGACTTCAGGGTGCCAGACAAGAGGTAAAGGTAGGGCTGTGTGTGTTATGGTGCTTTCAAGACAACTGGGAACTCTCGGGGGAAAAAACGAGGTCAAATCATAACGTCAGGGATCTTAAGGTCGACATGTTGGGGTTCTAGAAAGTTGCCCAGGTTGCCGACTTGGAATTCTGAGTTGGATGACCGTTCAAAATGATTCAGAGCTTGTTTTTTCCCCCCCCAAGTTCCCAGTTGTCTTGAATACTCGGAAGTCATAGATTTCCGAGTTGCGAGTTCCCAGTTGTTTTGAACGTGGCATAACGTCACTGTGTAGTTGCTTATTGATGACATCACTGTGTAGTCCCTTATTGATGATGCCACTGTGTATTCCCTTCTTGATGCTGTCACTGTGTAGTCCCTTATTAATGCTGATGCTGTCACTGTATAGTCCCACCTTGATGATGTCACTGTGTATTCCCTTCTTGATGCTGATGCTGTCACTGTGTAGTCCCTTCTTGATGCTGATGCTGTCACTGTGTAGTCCCTTATTGATGCTGTCACTGTGTAGTCCCTTATTAATGCTGATGCTGTCACTGTATAGTCCCTCCTTGATGATGTCACTGTGTATTCCCTTCTTGATGCTGATGCTGTCACTGTGTAGTCCCTTCTTGATGCTGATGCTGTCACTGTGTAGTCCCTTATTGATGATGTCACTGTGGTTAGGTACTGGTGGCTGAAGCTGACCGCTCTGGCAGAGAAGGAGGACTGGGAGGAGATGGAGAAATTCGCCAAGAGCAAGAAGTCCCCCATCGGCTACTTAGTATGTTGTTTAAATAATCTTTATACAACGTTATTCATCCAATAGGCTACTTGACAGGTCATGTATAATCTTTATACAACTTAAGTTACGTAACTAACCTCTCCCTTTCTCTCTCAGCCCTTTGTGGAGGTGTGTGTGAAACGACACAATAAGTACGAGGCCAAAAAGTATGTTTCCAAGGTGACCCCGGAGCAAAAGGTCAAAGCCCACTTGGCCATAGGGTGAGTCTGTGTGTGTGTGTGCGCGTGTCTGTGTGTGTGTCAGTGTGCAGAAACTAAACTCCTTTTCCTTTCTCTCTCTCCCCCTCTCTCAGTGATCTGGAGGGGGCAGCCGAGGCAGCTATAGAGAGGAGGAGTGAAGGAGAGATCAGCACCGTCCTGTCTCGCTGTTCTCCCACCACAGACAGAGCCCTGCTGGAGAGACTCAACCGAGCCAGATCCACTGCCGCCAAAAAGTGACCTCCCTGAAATTCAATTCAAACCACAACATTTCTCACTGTCAAAAAAGTGAGCCCTATCAAAAACGCACTAACTGTTACTGTTGAAAAGTGACCCGTCAACCACCATTCACCCCAGCTCTAGCGTATGTCCTGCTTCAACCACATTTGGAGGGGAAGGAGTGATTTGGGAAAGAAAGACATTCCAAGCTTACACACACACACACACAGGTTAGACACGCTGATATCAACAGCACTCCCACAATTAGCCAATCGTGAAATAAATGTTCCTCTCGACTGTCTGTTTTAGCCGAGAGACGCAGTGAGATCATCTCAATTCGCAATGAATTGCTTTCATATTGTATATCCTGTGTTTTCAAATCTGTTCAAATGAAGGAAGTGAGAGAAGTAAGGACACCACTTTTGACTATAGAGAAGCACAGATTGCTCCCATTTACTGTCTGCTGTAAACTGCCTGTGTTACTGACACAGATCATGTGATTGTCACATTAATGAAACCATGTTTGTGTTGTACACACACTGCAGACCCTTGTCTCATGTTTTATCATTGAATAAATGCGTTCCTTTATGAAGGAGCTACGAAACGATAGAGGAACACGGTACTCAGGAATGGGATCGGTGTCCCATGTTGAACATTATGGGAAATAGGCTGCTTGTAGAAAACAAGAAACTCAAAATTACTGCTTCTTTTTGTAATAATCAACAGGGCATATTGTATGTAGGCTATTGTGTAAAAGCATCAGGTCAGAAAATGGGGTTCATAAATGTGGATAGAGGACAGTCAACAACTGTACTGTAACGGTACAGGCCTACTGTATGTGAGTGGGGGAAATAATGTGAAATGTTACAGTATAAATTGGAATTTATGGGCCGAATTTACGACGCCTCCACACACTGAAACTTGGCAGAGGAATCGGCCAAGCATATTCTCTCAAACCGTGTCTGGAGTTTTCTCTTTTTGCTGACGGCATACTTTTTCAGTTCAGAAAGAGGTACCGCCGGGGGCGCGGGGCTGCGCCTGTCACGTGGTCTGTTTGTTTGTCTATGCCTGTCTGTGAGCCGCGAGACACTTGCTGTCACACGATTCAGAAGCTCTTCAAGCGAGTTCCGCGTTTAAAACAGGTAATGTAGCCTTGTCCGTACAATGTGTTGTTTTCTGAGAAATCAGAAACAAAGTTGCAAGTGAGTGTAAGTTGCAAGTTATACTATCCTAGCCAAGAGTTGGCTCAAAGTAAAAACAAATCGGTGTAGTGGAGTCATTTATATAGGGGCTACTTATAGAAATGAGAGTGAGTGAAGTATTAGAAGTTCACCCGCTGCCTTAGAGATAATTCAACAGCTGTGTAGCCTATTGTGTATATCTCGCAGAGTTATATATACACTGAGTTTACCAAACACCTTCCTAATATTGAGTTGCACCGCTCCCTTTTGCCATCGGAACAGCCTCAATTCGTCGGGGCATGGGCTCTACAAGGTGTCGAAAGCGTTCCACTGATGTTGGCCCATGTTGACGCCAATGCTTCCCACAGTTGTGGCAAGTTGGCTGGATGTCCTTTGGGTGGTGAACCATTCTTGATCCACACGGGAAACTGTTGAGCATGAAAAACCCAGCAGCATTGCAATTCTTGACAAACTGGTGTGCGGGGCACCTACTACCATACCCCTTTCAAAGGCACTTGCATATTTTGTCTTGCCCATTCACCCTCTGACTGGCACACAGGCTTAAAAATCCTTCTTTAACCTGTCTCCTCCCCTTCATCTACACTGATTTGAAGTGGATTTAACAAGTGACAGCTTTCACCTGGGTTCACCCGGTCAGTCTGTAATGGAAAGAGCAGGTGTTCTTAATGTTTTGTACACTCATTGTATATTAAGAGTAACTTTCTTGAAAACAATTTTTTTTGATCGAAAACCAGTTTTAGGCTTAGTTATAGTGAAACACGTCAATTCTAGTCTTCATTTTGACTGTTTGTTGCAAAAGTCATATTTTGGACTTTTAGTAGTAAATCTAGCTATTTTGGCCCCTAGCTGTTCAACTTTACCATTGAAATCGTGATGTAGAGGCACCTTGGGAAGGTTCCTTTAAGTCACCTCAAGGGATGGGGTTCCGTATGAAAGGCTCCGTATGGAGGGTGTGACGCAATTGAGGCCAAATTGAGCTCAGTACCGTATAGCTGTGCGCCTCCCAAATGTTGTAACAATGCGGAGGGCTCCGTATAGCGCCACATAGCACCGCATTGACATAATTGGTTGACGGTAGGTGGGGGCGGGAGGTCCAGTATAAACACAAACTCACTTCCTTGACAACTTCCTCCACATAAACTCTACTCAACAGCTCTGCGCTGCGCTGCTAAGCCAAGAAGTATGAATGCCCTGACTTCTGCAGAGGCCTATCACCATACATGCTGCATGGCCAATAGAGATGGCGGATTGACAGTGTTGCCAACTCCTCAGTAAGGAAAGTAGCTATTGGCTGTCCTAAAAGTCGCTAGAAGTCGCTAAATGAAGTCATCACCTAATTTGCATAATTAGCCATGTGCATGTCATTGTGATGGATGCTGTAGGAGAGAGGAATAACGTCATGGGAGAGACAAAAAGGGAGTAAAAAACACCCTACATTTACATCCCGCCCTGAATGTAAGCGCGGGATCAGCCAGCGGCGGCTTCCCGCATGCGCGATTCATTTGCAGTCTGGACGCGGAGGGGTGAACATCTCCTGCTCTGACTGCAGCTGGGAGGGACTGCTGCGTGAGGACTGGGCCGCCTGTGAGTGCTTTGGGATGGGGGTAACAAAGCACCCGCTGCTCGTTGAGAAGAGTAAGAACGATACGTGCTTTCACGTCAGAGTCTCCAAAAGTCTCCAATAACACCAGAAAATTGAAATTGATCAGAGGGCCTTATATGGCCCGCGGACCACCAGTTTCCCATCCCTGCTGTAAAAGCTGGTGACAGCTCACCTTATTTGGCAATGGTCTTGGTAAGTGGAGTGTGTCAATATATTTTGAATGATGCTTCCTTGACTAGACTACTGACGTTACACAAAATTCAAAAGGCAGTAAGGCACATTTACGCATTAGATAAAAAACTTTGAATTTGGTCAGTGTGCTTTTAAGAAAGAAAACATGTAGGCTATGAGGATTATACGTTTATATTCATAGCTACATCCATCGTAACAAGAAATAGATGACAATGGTGGTCATGTCAACTCGTTGTATTTCTTCCCAACCGCTTTGACTGAGTAAAAGACGCAAAAACAAAACTAAAGAATGGGAAGCATAGAAATAGCGCACATAGAACAGATCTACCTCTTCTTAGACTTGCTTTCAATGAGAATGACAGATCTATAACTCACATTTTTTGGGCGACCCAACCAAATTCTATGCTTGCCGTTCATAAGTTTTGTTTTTGCGTCTTTTACTTTTGGTTTTGTACACCAGCTTCAAACAGCTGAAAATACAATATTTTTGGTTATGGAAAATATATTTCACAGTGGTTTTGATGGTACAATGATTCTCTACACAATGACTGCTTGTTTTGTCACATAAACTGAAATTAGGTGAACTATTTAAAAAAAATTGCAACCAGGAAGTGGCCGAGCGATTTCTGCATATTGCAAAAAGAAATTGTAGAAATAGGCGGGGTTTATGACTTTGTGGCGGTGGTAACTAGTGACTACCCCATTTCAGGCTACTAATCAAGTTAGAGTAGCTAGCTTGTCTAACTATCTTAGCTGGCATGCCTGCTGACAAGGTTGGTAGACTTTAGAAAAGCAAGCAACAACTAAATGTACTCAATAAGACTCACATTCCTTTCAGTCTTTTAACCAGATTTTAGCAAAGATGCAGAGAAGCACATTTAGTAAAAAAATAAACACCAGTCAGGAAGATACAGACAGCTCAAGAGGTATGCTTAGATATGCAGAAAAATTGAAATATTTCCAACTACTGGTCGGGGGGCCCAGCCCCTCTCCGGACCACCCCCAGCCATCCTCGGGTACTTTGTGCCCCCTCAAATATTTGGGGTGCATGACGCCCCTGGGCTACTGTGTATAACTGTGTGTGTGTGTGTGTGTGTGTGTGTGTTTGTGTCTCAAATTGCTTTAGTCATGTCATCTGTGAAGGTGGAGTGTGTGGTGAAAGAGAGGTGTGAGATCGGAGAAGGGCCGGTGTGGGAGGAGAAAGAAGGAACTCTGCTCTTTGTTGACATATCCGGACAGCAGATCCACCGCTGGAACCCAGCAACCAATCAGAAAGAGACAGTAGCCACAGGTAACTAAGGTTCAATAAAGATATATTTTCATTGAACTTCCATTTTGTAGATCCAGTTTGTTCCTCATGCAGTTTGTTTGGGCTATGAGGTAGCAACAGCACACCTAATACTCCTGTCAAGTTCTGTATTTTTTTTCTACAACCCTCCCTGTTTCCAACTCCCCACGCACCTCTCCCTGCTCCCTCCCCCAATCTCCCTCCACCTGCTCCCTCTTTCTGCTCCCTCTCCCCATGCCCCTCTCCCTGCTCCCTCCCCCTGCTCCCTCTCCCCACGCCCCTCTCCCTGCTCCCTCCCCCTGCTCCCTCTCCCCACGCCCCTCTCTCTGCTCCCTCCCCCTGCTCCCTCTCCCCACGCCCGTCTCCCTGCTTCATCTCCCCCCTCTCCTCCCCCCCATCCCCACTCCTCCCTCCATCCCCACTCCTCCCCCCAGATAAGTTTGTAGGCTGTGCGGTCCCTCGGCGGTCTGGAGGCTATGTGATCGGAGAGGGACGGAGTTTCAGAGCGCTGGACTGGGAGTCCAAGTCCATATCCACCATCGCTGTCATCGATGAAGACAAACCCAACAACCGCTTTAATGACGGCAAAGTGGACCCTGCTGGACGCCTATTTGCAGGTAGAGATTGATAGATCAATTAATTTGTCAATCCGTTAATCCATTAAGCTCTCATCTACTGCATCTGTTCTGTGTTCTATGTAATGTTCTGTTGCCTGTGTTCTGCCAGGTACCATGGCGATGGAGGAACGTCCTACAGTACTAGAGCTGAAGCAGGGTTCTCTGTTCTCCCTGAACCAGGACCACATTGTGGTCAAACACTTCAATCAGGTGATACATGAGGGTGGAATGTTCTCAGTGATAGTTTCTTGTATAGTTGTTAAGTGTTAGTGGGAGATATACAGTCCCAAACACTAATCTATAACGTATTAGATCAAAAGAGACTGAAGCGAGTGCTAACCTTTATGCTGCTATTTTGACTCTTTGACCAGGTGGACATCTCCAACGGTCTGGACTGGTCTCTGGACCACAACACCTTCTACTACATAGACAGCCTCACCTACACTGTGGAAGCTTTCAACTATGACATTAACACCGGGAGGATCAGTGAGTGAGAGACACACACACACACATATAAACACTGTGACGTCACGAGAGGCTACACAGCTTTCAGCGGGGTTGCTCAAGTAGTGCCAGGAGACAAGGTTCAAACAAAACAAGGATTTTATTATAGGTCTTGGGAAATTAACGAAAATATAACAAAATTCTGTTCTCTTGTGGCTCTTTAAGGGTTAACAGTTCAGGGATGTCTCTTCCACATCCAAAATCATAATCCTCACTCGCTCAGATAACTTTTCCCCAGCCTTACTGTAGTCCACGTTGCAGCTAGTGGCCAACCCAGCAAAAAGTCCTTCCAAATGTCTCTCCCGTATTTCCACAGGCGAATATATCCAAAGGTGAGTATTTCCCAAAGGTAAGTATCTCCAAATCCTTATATTCCTCATGGAAGTGGACGTGCAGCACTCTTGTCCTCCAGAGAGCCCAGGTTGGAGACTGTGTTTCTTCACAACCCACCCACTCCCCCTCAGTGTGTCTCTTCCCTTCCAAAAACCTTCAGCTCATCAGCCCCTGATTCGTTTCAGCTGCGTGGGAAGATTGGCCATAGAGGGGTGGAGTTCCCGACCATACCAGCAGATGGAGCCATAGCTGTCTGGGTTTGCAGCCATCTCAGGGGGATGTAACGTCCCTCCAGGACACAGCCTCTCGTGACATCACACATCCCCCTCCTCGGGACCGACGTCCTCGTCGGGGTAAAGGCAGCGAAGAAGGCATCACGCCGGGAGAGGGCGTCCGCATTGCCGTGGTGCTTGCCAGCCCTGTGGACAACAGAAAAGTTAAACGGTTGCAAGCTCAAAAACCATCTGGTTACTCTACTGTTTGATTCCTTGTTCTTGTTGGGCACGTTTTCCCCCCTCTTCTGCCCAGGCATGTAGTTGTACTTGGGTGTTCTCCTCTGGCCTCTGTCCTGCAGGGGGGTGCATCTCCCCTGGCCTCTCCCCTGACCCCTCCAGCTGGGCTCTTCAGTGCTGGGGCCCAGTTTGTCATGATGGGCAGGGGGGGTGTCTCTGCCGCTGGCTCCCCTTTCAGGCTCCTTCCTCTCCTGGGGATATTCTTTGATCGGCCCCTGGCGTCGTTTGGGCTCTGGGAATTTCTTTCGAGGGTCAACGTGGGGGTTCCTGTCCTCGGTCCTACTGCCTTTACGGTTTCTTGTCCCCATTTCTAATGGTCGGGTTTCTTCTCTGGGCTCAACCTGCTGACACTCAGGGCAACTACGGCAGTAGTTCTCTATCTCTTTGTGTACTCCATACTGGCCTGTGAGAGGGGGAAGCTCTTGGGTGCCTGGGACGTCTTCTTCACTGGAGAACGGAGCACTTTCCTGGGCTGCGTTCTCTTCTCCCGTATCCGGACCAGTCTCTGTGTCGGTCTGGGCACCTGCCATCCCTATCAGAGCCCGGGCGGGAGTGAGTAATTCGGAGGATTGCACCGGAGCCTTCCCAGGATGAGTCTTGCCTCTCCGTTTCCGAGGTACTCGGGTTATCCTCTCCTGAGACTCTCTCCAGAGTGGGTAAAAGGCCGGGCAGTCTCGTCCAATTAGGACAGGGACGGGGAGGGAATCAACCACCCCCGCCGTCGTGTGTATGGTTCCCCGTGTGCTGGTCATTGTAAGTTCAGTAATGGGGTATTCTCTGGTGTCTCCATGGACACAGGAAACTGGGAGGACTTTCCCCGGGGTCAGACACGTTGGGCCCACCAAATCCTTACGCACCAGGGTGGCCCGGCTACCAGAATCCAGTAAGGCCTCCACATCATGGTGATTCACAGTTACCGGGCAGGTGGGGGGTCGATCTGGGCCGCCATCTACGACTCCCAAGAGCGAGGCAAAACGGTGTGTGGGTGCTGAGCTGGAGGACTCCGCAGTGGGCATAGGTTCATCGGCTGGTTTCCCACACTGCCAGGAGATATGTCCCATCTCCCCACACCGGTAACACTGTCGAGTTTCCCCCTCCTGGTGTACTCTTCTTGGACCCGCCTGGTTTCTGGCTCCCCCTGGAGCCGGGATAAGTCCTGACGTGGCTGGGTTCGAGACCTTGGGGTCCTTTGGACGGGTTCTTCCCATTTGTGGTGGGGCCGCACTCCTGGGGTCTTTTCGGGAAGCATTCAGCATCTCCGCTGTGGCCTGGTACTTTTCCACAGCTTCCACGGTCAGATCAGCCGTGGTCAAGGCCTGTTGACTGATGAACCGTTTTGCCTCATAAGGCAGGGCGCGTAGGTAACGATCCACCACAACGGCCTCCACCACCGCCGCTGCTGTATTCCTCTGCGGATCCAGCCATTTCCTTGCGATTCGGACAAGTTCATGCATCTGCGCCCGAGGAGGTTGGTCTGGTTGGAAGGTCCAGCTGTGAAAGCGCTGGGCCATACCAAACTTTGTGAGTCCATATCTGCTGAGGATCTCAGCCTTCAGGGCATCATAGTCAGTAACCTGGTCAGGGCCCAGGTCCCGGACAGCATTCAGCGATTCCCCGGTTAGAAAGGGGGCTAACAGACCAACCCACTGTTGCTTGGGCCAGGCTTCCCTAGTGGCCGTGGCCTCAAATGCATGCAGGTATGCCTCAATGTCATCGGTAGCTCCCATCTTAGATATAAAGTCACTTGCCTTTATTGGGCGGGTATTTTGGACAACCCTCTGTCTCTGCAACTGCAATTCCTCTGCCTTCAGAAGGTTGGCTTTCTTTTGCTCCTCCAAGAGAGCCACGTTTGCTTGCATCTGGGCTTGCTGGCCAGCAACAAGGGCTTTCAATATGTCCTCCATTTCAGTCGGCGGGGAGCCTACGGCCAACTTGGAAAACTGGGTGATCAAACCTTCGGTATCCTCCTCTGACATGCACTATTAACGCTTGAGTATCCCCGTATTCTCCACCATCTGTGACGTCACGAGAGGCTACACAGCTTTCAGCGGGGTTGCTCAAGTAGTGCCAGGAGACAAGGTTCAAACAAAACAAGGATTTTATTATAGGTCTTGGGAAATTAACGAAAATATAACAAAATTCTGTTCTCTTGTGGCTCTTTAAGGGTTAACAGTTCAGGGATGTCTCTTCCACATCCAAAATCATAATCCTCACTCGCTCAGATAACTTTTCCCCAGCCTTACTGTAGTCCACGTTGCAGCTAGTGGCCAACCCAGCAAAAAGTCCTTCCAAATGTCTCTCCCGTATTTCCACAGGCGAATATATCCAAAGGTGAGTATTTCCCAAAGGTAAGTATCTCCAAATCCTTATATTCCTCATGGAAGTGGACGTGCAGCACTCTTGTCCTCCAGAGAGCCCAGGTTGGAGACTGTGTTTCTTCACAACCCACCCACTCCCCCTCAGTGTGTCTCTTCCCTTCCAAAAACCTTCAGCTCATCAGCCCCTGATTCGTTTCAGCTGCGTGGGAAGATTGGCCATAGAGGGGTGGAGTTCCCGACCATACCAGCAGATGGAGCCATAGCTGTCTGGGTTTGCAGCCATCTCAGGGGGATGTAACGTCCCTCCAGGACACAGCCTCTCGTGACATCACAACACTTACACCTTGCACTACATGGACAGCCTTCTGTGTGTGTGTGTGTGTGTGTGTGTGTGTGTGTGTGTGTAGGTAACCGGCGGATGGTGTATAAGATGGAGGAGGGGGAGGGGATTCCTGATGGCATGTGTATCGATGCGGACGGTAGACTCTGGGTCGCCTGCTACAATGGAGGCAGAGTGATTCAGATTGACACACAGACAGGTGTGTGTGTATATCTGCTTATGTTTGTCAGAGCATAACAGTTACAGTATATTGTAGTATGAAGGTAACAACCACCAATCCCCCCTTCCCTCTCTCTGCCCCCCCTTTAAAAGAGAACCGCTCGACGCGAGAGAGCGATGGAGAGGACCGAAGTCCGATCAAAGATACCTAGAGCTCGTAAAAGAACGGAGTAAATCTCTACTCGTGAGCTACTTCTATCTGTCCCTCTCTCTCTCTATCATCACTTCCTCTATTGACACTCATACTCTTACTCTTCCTAATCATACTACTTCTCTCTTCTGCTCTCACTTACCCTCTCTATCTCTGCCCCTCTCTCTCCACTCTTCTCTCTATGTTCCCTTCTCTATCCCCTCTCCCTCTCTCTCCTCCCTCTCTCCCTCCCCCTCTCTCGGTCTTCGACTATCTTTGACCCACTCATACCACTCTCATTTGTCCTCTCGAGCTATTCCTCTTCTCCTCCCTTTGGCCTCGCCCTCCCGTCAGGGGTTGCTTTACGGTAGCTGGTAGCCTCAGTTGTTTCCGGGGGTCAGAGGGACTATCAGACCTTCGGATTCACACTTAAGAAACGAGGCAACATTGCAAACAATCGCAGGCAGGCTGTGTCTTTAGGGTACGTGTGTGTGTGTGTGTGTGTGTCAGTGGAGGCTCCTCAGAGGAGGAAGGGGAGGACCATCCTACTCAGTGAATTTCAACAACAATAAAAATGAGTGAAACATTAAAAAAGTTATCCTTTTTAGATAAAACTATACAAAATATATTCACGTTTTACCAAATAACTGATTAAAACACACTGTTTTGCAATGGTCTACCGCCGCTGGAACGGCAATGGTCTACAGTAGCCTGAACGGCACATTCTGGGGTAGCACCATGGTGTAGCCCGAATACAGCTATTTTCCGTCCTCTGGGGTACATTGACTTCAATACAAAACCTTGGAGGCTCATGGTTCGCACCCCCTTCCATAAGACTTACACAGTAATTATGACGACTTCCGGAAGACGTCCTCCAACCTATCAGAGTTCTTGCAGCATGAACTGACATGTTGTCCACCTAATCAAAGGATCAGTTAATTAATCTAGTACTGAAAGCATAAGCTATAGCTAGCTAGCACTGCGGTGTATAAAATGTGGTGAGTAGTTGACGCAAAGAGAGAGAAAAACAATAGTTGAACAGTTTTTAACAAATTAATTTCTTTAAAAATTAATGAGACACAGAGATAGAGGTATATTTCGTTGTAATTTTTTCACTTTCACTTACACTACCCGTCAAAAGTTTTAGAACACCTACTCATTCAAAGTTTTTTCTTTATTTTTACTATTTCCTACATTGTAGAATAATAGTGAAGACATCAAAACTATGAAATAACACATATGGAATCATGTAGTAACCAAAAACGTGTTAAACTAATCAAAACATATTTTATATGAGATTCTTCAAATAGCCACCCTTTGCCTTGATGACAGCTTTGCACACTCTTGGCATTCTCTCGACCAGCTTCACCTGGAATGCTTTTCCAACAGTCTTGAAGGAGTTCCCACATATGCTGAGCACTTGTTGGCTGCTTTTCCTTCACTCTGCGGTCAATTTGGTTGAGGTCGGGGGATTGTGGAGGCCAGGTAATCTGATGCAACACCATCACTCTCCTTCTTGGTAAAATAGCCCTTACACAGCTTGGAGGTGTGTTGGGTCATTGTCATGTTGCATTGGCCTCCCGAGTGGCGCAGTGGTTTAAGGCACTGCATCGCAGTGCTAGCTGTGCCACTAGAGATCCTGGTTCGAATCCAGGCTCTGTCGTAGCCGGCCACGACCGGGAGACCCATGGGGCGGCGCACAATTGGCCCAGCGTCGTCCAGGGTAGGGGAGGGAATGTCCGGCAGGGATGTAGCTCAGTTGGTAGAGCATGGCGTTTGCAACGCCAGGGTTGTGGGTTCGAAAAAATAATAAAAGTAATGTATGCACTCACTGACTGTAAGTCACTCTGGATAAGAGCGTCTGCTAAATGACTAAAATGTAAAATGTAAATGTAATGTTGAAAAACAAATTATAGTCCCACTAAGCGCAAACCAGATGGGATGGCATATCGCTGCAGAATGCTGTGGTAGCCATGCTGGTTAAGTGTGCCTTGAATTCTAAATAATTCACAGACAGTGTCACCAGCAAATCACCCCCACACCATAACACCTCCACCTCCTCCATGCTTTACGGTGGGAAATACACATACAGAGAGCATCCGTTCACCCACACCGCGTCTCACAAAGACATAGCGGTTGGAACCAAAAATCTCAAATTCGGACTCCAGACCAAAGGACACATTTCCACTGGTCTAATGTCCATTGCTTGTGTTTCTTGGCCCAAGCAAGTCTCTTCTCCTTATCAGTGTCCTTTAGTAGTGTTTTCTTTGCAGCAATTCGACCATGAAGGCCTGATTCACACAGTTCCGTCTGAACAGTTGATGTTGAGATGTGTCTGTTACTTGAACTCTGTGAAGCATTTATTTGGGCTGCAATTTCTAAGGCTGGTAACTCTAATGAACTTATCCTCTACAGCAGAGGTAACTCTGGGTCTTCCATTCCTGTGGCGGTCCTCATGAGAGGCAGTTTCATCATAGCGCTTGATGGTTTTTGTGACTGCACTTGAAGAAACTTTCAAAGTTCTTGACATCTTCCATATTGACTGACCTTCATGTCTTAAAGTAATGATGGACTGTTGTTTCTCTTTGCTTATTTGAGCTGTTCTTGACATAATATGGACTTGGTCTTTTACCAAATAGGGGTATCTTCTACCTTGTCACAACACAACTGATTGGCTCAAACGCATTAAGAAGGAAAGAAATTCCACAAATTAACTTTTAACAAGGCACACCTGTTAATTGAAATGCATTACAGGTGACTACCTCATGAAGCTGGTTGAGAGAATGCCAAGAGTGTGCAAAGCTGTCATCAAGGCAAAGGGTGGCTATGTGAAGAATCTCAAATATACAATATATTTTGATTTGTTTAACACTTTTTTGGTTACTTAATGATTCCCTATGTGATATTTCATAGTTTTGATGTCTTCACTATTATTCTACAGAAAATAGTTTAAAAAAATAAGAAAAACCCTTGAATGAGTAGGTGTTCTAAAAAGTTTGACCGGTAGTGTACCTAATTTAGCCTACTCAAACAACCGGCTCAAACAGAGAGGAATGCTATTTATGTTATCTAGCTGGCTAAGGCTATCCAACACTGGAACTCTTCCAAGTCAAGGTAAACTTTTGGTTTTATAAATGTATTGCCACAGGGGCTCACCAGTGTAACTGCAAAAAATGTGAGCCTGGTCACAGACAGTTGTGTTGTGCACTGAAGTCCACAAGCAAAGGAAAAAGGTGAGAGGAGGAGAGCTCGTAAATGCAAGAAGGAATTATACAACAAGCAAAGTGATGATGCTGTTTGTATGTGGCTGCTATGAAAGTGAACTGTGTGTGCTGGTGATCAGGAGTGTATTCATTCCGGAGATTCTGTTGAAAAACTTTTCTTAAACGTAAGCAAACGGAACGAAACAGGGATAAACCTATCAAATCTGTAATATCTGTAATATAAACTCTTGTTTGCAACTGATTACAACCTAGATCAGCTAGATGCAGGCAAGAGTGTGCAAGGCGGTATTGAATGTGTCACTGTCTGTCTCCTTGATTACTCCAATTTGTCTCGACCTATGTTAGAAACACTTTTTGCAGACGCTCTTATCCAAAGTGACTTACAGTAGTGAGTGCATACATTTTCATACTTTTACATACTAGCTAGGTTGTAGCAACCTCATGATAGGTATAGGGAACATTTTTGTATCATGTAGTAGCCTAAACCTATCGATGTTACATTGAGCTGGGTGAATGGAATATGAATGACAGTGATCCAATATGCTGTAATAGAAATAGGGCCATGCTCATTTAAAAAAAATTGGCCTCCCTAATCTTAAACGGCACCGACCGCCACTGGTGTGTGTGTGTGTTTTATTCAGCCTGTGTTTTATTCTCCTTGCAGATCACAGGTCTGGGTGCAAAGGGCGTTCCTGCAAACTCATTCGCTGGATGAGTGACACAATGGAAACACTGAAAACCGGCCCTTGTTAATCATTCCATGATGATCAGCCTGTAACTCGACTGCACAACTAAACTGCACCCACTAACCACTAATCTCACTAATAAAATAATGTGACTTTATGATTTTAAGCAAAACTCAACATGCCTCAGTTACTGTACATATTTTGTCCAATAAAAAGCTCAAATTGATAGGTAGTTTGTGCGTTTGTATGAGGACTCTTATTTTGACACAATTCTCGCTGTTATGCCATTGCTGCTGACGTCACACGGCTTTCATGCAGGGGTTTTTTTTCTTGGGGAAACTGGAATTTCCTCCTCATAGGCTCCTACTGAAGATGATGCGGAAGCAAGAATAGAACCAAAGGGGAAAGGGCATTTTCATCTCTTTCTAGTCACAGACCAGGGTGAACTCCAACATATTTACAGCATTTTAACTGTGGTCCTGCTACATCCCGCTCGCTGTTTACAAGCTAGCATCAGTAGTAGATGTCGATAGGCGGTGGAAATGGAGCGCGGAGACGCAGCGTCTACAAACGCAGACTGGATGTCTCAACTGCCAGAGGAACTGTGGGGTATACCGCTTTGGGACCTGGCGATACCCGGTGAGAATGAACTTGGGAAGGTCACTAGTGATAGCCTACTGTTATCCTTTCTATTACGATTACAAAAAGAGTTTGATATTGAATAGAAATAGAGTTTAGAGCCCAATCTATGTTTGTTTGAACGAACGTGTCAAATTCGAAATAGTAGCCTATGGGACTAGGCTATTTCATTAGCCTAGAGAAAATGTATGCACTCACTAACTGTAAGTCGCTCTGGATAAGAGCGTCTGCTAAATGACTAAAATGTAAACAAACAAAAAAAAACATTTGTCACGAGTTTAATTAGAGGAAGTAAGCCTGTTTTGTGCACTTTTATGTATTTTTGTCTCTGCTTGCAGGGAGTCATGACAGCATGAGTTACTGTCTGGATAGACACTCTGCTGTCTTGGGTTCTGAGTCGTTGGTGCTGCAGTTGCTGGATCGGCTGGCACCCTGCATCATACGCCCCTGTGTCTTCCGCTGGGCCACCACACAGGCAGGCTTCACACACACGTTTGTTTTGCTATCCTTGTGGGGACCAAACTATTTTATACCCATTAAAAATCATATTTTCCTGAACCCTAACCCCTGAGCCTAAAATAGCCTTTTTTCCTTGTGGGGACCGGCGAAATGTCCCCACTTCTGGTCCCCCCAAGGATAGTAAATTAAAACACACACTGCAGACAGAGAACTGTGTGTGTGTATATTATTCATATGATATATAATCTAACTTAGAGATTTTCCCTGTCCCTTTCTCCCATAGGCATGGTGTATTCCTGATCAGTTGGATGCTGGAATCCGATTCTTCGATCTACGGATCGCCCATAAAAACATTAAAAATACACACCGCACACAAGACATGCTAAAAACACACAACACAGATGACACACTGTACTTCGCACATGCGATCTATACGCTACAGACTGTAAAGGTACAGTATAGTATACACATCATTCTGGTGTGTGAATCTTCTGTACTCAGTGTGTGAGCGTGTACACTAGAAATATTATTTACAATCCGTGTGTGTGTGTATATAGGAGGCCCTGTCAACCATGGCTGTGTGGTTGGAGCAGCACCAGAAGGAGATAGTGATCCTGTCCTGTTCCCACTTCTACCTGCTGAGTGACTCTGAGCACCAGGCCCTGGTCTCCTACATCACTCAGCTGTTTAAAGACAAACTCTGCCCCCCACAGGTACAGGATAGACAAAACCCCACTACTGACTGTCTCAGTCAGGGTTGGGGTCAGTTCAGTTTTCAGGAAGTGAGTTCAGTTTTCAGGAAGTGGTGTCAGATATGGTCAGTTCATGTTTTCAGGAAGTGGTGTCGGATCAGTTTTTTGGAAGTTAAGTGCCCATTTTTTTATTGGAATTAATGAACTCACAGCTGTGTGTGTGTGTCTAGGAAACTCCCTATCTGAGTCAATGCTGGTATCTGGGACAGCAGGTCATCGTTTCATATGACAATGAGACGATTCTTCACCAACACAAGGAACTGTGGCCGAAGATCCCTTACTGGTAAGCTCTGTGTGTGTGTGTGTGGCTGTGTGTGGGTGGGTGGGTGTGTGTGTGCGTGCGTGTGTTAAACCTGTAACCTTTGACTCTTTACAGGTACGCTGACTCGGCAGACCCCAAAGAGGTCATTTCTTACCTGGAGGAGCGGCAGAAGGCCCAAGGGAGAGCAGGTTAGAGTGTGTGTGTGTGTGTATGTGTGTGTGTGTGCGTGCGTGTCCTTTGATTGACAGCTGAGCTCTTTGATTGACAGCTCATTTCTTCACCTCGGGGCTGAACCTGACGGAGGATACTGCTGTGGTGGTCTGCAACCCCTGTCTGACGATGAGGAAGTTAACGATGAAGAGTTTCTCCCTGCTGCTGGACTGGGTGGAGGAGCAGACTCCAGGACCGGACCTGACCGCTGTCAACATCATCTGTGGAGACTTTGTGGGTCTCAACAACTTTGCCTCTGTGGTTATCGGGCTCAATAAGAAACTGCTGAAGACAGAGAACCACAGATGACTGACAAGGGAAGGCGTGAGAAAGAGAACGTCTGATAAACATGCACAGAATCCCAAATGGCTGCTAGTTCCTACTACCTATGCACTTGTGGAGATCTAAGAGGTTTGGTTAGGTGTAATCAACATGGTACTCTGATACACAAGATCAAGGGTGTCAAACTCATTCCATGGAGGGCCTAGTGTCGGCTGGTTTTTGGTTTCTCCTTTCAATTAAGACCTAGACAACCAGGTGAGGGGCGTTCCTTAATAATTAGCAACCTTATTTCATCAACTACAAGGGAGGAGCGAAAAACCATAGACACTCAGCCCTCTGTGGAATGAGCTTGACACCTGCACTAGATCATATGAATGAGTTTGACACGTGCACTAGATCATATGAATGAGTTTGACACGTGCACTAGATCATATGAATGAGTTTAACACGTGCACTAGATCATATGAATGAGTTTGACACGTGCACTAGATCATATGAATGAGTTTGACACGTGCACTAGGTCATATGAATGAGTTTAACACGTGCACTAGATCATATGAATGAGTTTGACACGTGCACTAGATCATATGAATGAGTTTCCATATTCCCTATGTGTCAATGTACAGCACAGGGTGTCAGGTTTACTGTGTTGTTAATGTGTATGATGTATATAATGGGAGGTTTTTTCATTTTTCTAAAGTGATGCCAAAGGAAAAGTTCCATCCTTGGATGGACAATAGAATTTGTATTGTATTCTATATGCAAATGTACTACATGCAGGGGAAAATGCATAAATGTTTATTAAACTATGCATCAGTTTGAAATAGTCATGTTACAGCAGGTGTGAGTCAAATAAACCACTTCCTCATGGCTAAGAATGGAGGTACCCTGAGAACTGAGTTGTAATGTAAAGTATGTGCTGCCCTGCCCTCCTTTGTTCAAACAGAAGTGCAGTGAAACATGTTGCAGGACCAGATTTTATTGTAAAGGTAAAACAAAATAATTAATTAAAAATCATAAAATAAAAACAGGAAAAAGCAGAAATGAACAAAAGATACATTTGAACTCACACCTAACAAGGTGCACAATTAATGTCACACCATTTACAGTAGGAAAGTGGATACATTGTAGTAAAATATAGTAAACATATACCTTAAATAAACATTGATTAATGTAATTCACAAAAAGCATTTTCACATAAGGCACTTCATTGATACAGCCAGACAGAAAAAACATGGATTTGACAATACAAAGCTACTCTAAGTTTACTATCACCCTCTGATTAAAACAATAACACACAACTATGAGATTAATAAAGAAGACGGAATATCTAGCAGTTCAAATCTAATTAATGAAATATAATCGAACTCCTTCTAGATGCAATTATTTCTGAAAAATAACCAACATGGCTTCCTGCTTTAAAGTCTCTATATGGGAAGATCTCAATTGCATGCTCTCATCTCCTTCTCAAAACCCATTGGAGGAGAAGGTCAGAGGGGAAGGAACTCTGGCTTTCTCATCCAATAGGTTTTGAGAAAGAGACGAAGAGAGAGGATGCGAGGAGTATGCATTTGACACCTTCTCAATGACTTTGGTGCACCTTCTCTTATCACACCTCCCTTCAGATCTCCCTCAGCAGAATCCCATAGGCGCTCCACAATCCTCCTCCCTTCTTCCTCAGATGTGCCGTCATTAACTGGAACAAGCCAGTAGTCAACTCTCTTACAGATCTTCCGTTGGCCTGGGTTGATGCGGTTCTGAAGGACCATCCTGTAGGTTTTCCCGTTCGCCTTCGACAGAAAGTCTCTAGCGTAGCCGCTGGCTTGGCTGAGGTCAGGAGTGGAGTAGATCCTGTAGTGTCTGAGGGTCTATGATTTTGCTGACGTTTGCAAAAAAGTGTGTTAGAGGGAACTTGGCTCTGCTTGCGGAAACATCTGGAAAGCATTACTACATAGGCTTCTTGGAATAGAGGATATGGGGAGATATGTGGAAGGCCAGGGATTGGTTTATTAAAATCACGCCATATTATGTTACTTAGGATATAAATACCAGGTTCTGAACAAAGGGAGAGGGGGAGACAACATATTGGATCAACAGATTGGCCGTTTCTCTCCAGATATAACTGCAGATATCTGTAAATTAATACTGTGAACTTTGATACAATAAAATCTTTATAATCAAAGAACAGTGTAAGCGGACTTCTTATCATCACAGCATAATTAGCAACGTTGTCTTGGACACCACAATCCCTCTGCTGTAGAGCTGCCTAGCTCCTGCTTTATAGTGGGACTTGATGATGCCTTTAGCCCCGTCCTCGCTGGTACCGTGATACGACACTGGCCACTCCCCGGTAACCGAGTGTGTCCGGAACCCGTTAGGACCGAGCCACGTGTTATCTTCGTATTTGTCCAGAACCTTCAACGCGATACGTTTCCATCCACACGGTCGCTTGTAGCCCTCACCGCCTCTCACAAAACACTCGGAGTCGGAAATGTTGGTGAAGTCATAATCAAACTTCCTATCAAAGAATTCTGCCTCGTCCACGTAGAGTTCAGTGTCTGTTGCCTTGCTTTTGTCCTCACTGAAGAAAAGCTTTGACACCCCCCATGCCAACCATGACACAGGGTTGAGCCACTGCAGGAGAGAGGTGACGCCCAGGACAGAACCGATGAGAAAGCCCTCCACAGTCAAAAGGTTGTCAGGCATCTTGCCAGGGTTGTTCCTCTGAAAGTTGGACAAGGGCCTCACCGTGGCTCCCAAGGCCACTGATAGGGCCTCATAGCGTACACCCTCGTCAAGCATGGCTGGTCTGAGAACAGTTGTTAACAGTGAAAGCCTCTCAAACATGTAAGGATATCTGTTTGTAGCTGATTGAAAAGCAGTCGTTAGCAGCTAACACCTCAAACTTATCTCAGGCGCTCCGTTTGTATCCAATCTCAGCAAACTAACCAAATGAAAAGCCTTCTGGCTACTACACAGGTACTGCCTCCACCAACAAAATCATTGACAGACTTTCAGTTTCATTTTTAGGTTTGTTAGAATTGGGAGGGACATGCCATTGGTCTTGGGCAGAGGACCAGGCTTATAAACATGAAGTCAATAACAGAGTAGCTGGAACGTAACTTTACTCTGAATACAAAGAAACCAAATGAAAACAACCTCACCAGGCCTGTAGACACGGTAGTTTCATCTGATAACTCCTCTCTATCTCTCTCACTTGTATGTGGTGTAGTGTTGTTTCTCTCTGTGTGAATAAAGATCACTTTTTGGATTTAATTTGCAAAATAGGGGAGGGGAGATAGATAATTCTGGTGTGTGTGTGTGTGTGTGTGTGTGTGTGTGTGTGTGTGTGTGTGTGTGTGTGTGTGTGTGTGTGTGTGTGTTTGTGTGTGTACTCACCGGCCTGTTGGCCTGGGCCAGTACCTCTGGGTTTGGTTCACTAAAGTTTGGCACCTCAGAGAAAACCATGCTAAACCTACAGCACAACACAGATCAATACCTGAACTAAATCTACAACACATTAACATCCAAGCCAACCGTTTGTGTGTCTTACTCTCCTATCTTCTGCAGGTCTCCTCCTCTATCGAGAGAGAGAGAGGGGTATGTATCAGATGTTGAACATGCTCTGCTCACACATACTGTGATGGTCCGGTTCCTAAACCACACAAAAACAACTAGACACTATCGAACACAAAGCTTTTACTATCTCATCCTGGAATATACAAGGCCTGAGGTCATCTGCCTTTGGCCTAAAGAGCAGGAACCCGGACTTCACCAAAGAAATTGGAAACACAGACATTGTCATCCTACAAGAAACATGGTATAAAGGAGATGGACCCACTGGTTGCCCTCTAGGTTACAGAGAGCTGGTAGTTCCATCCACCAAACTACCAGGTGTGAACCAGGGAAGACTCAGGGGGTATGCTAATTTGGTATAGAGCAGACCTAACTCACTCTATGAAATTATTCCAAACAGGAACATTTTACATCTGGCTAGAAATTAATAAGGAAATGATCTCAACAGAGACAAATGTCCTCCTGTGTGCTACCTATATCCCCCCAAAATAATCCCCATACTTTAACGATGACAGCCTCTCCATCCTAGAGGGGGAGATCAACAATTTCCAGGCTCAGGGACATGTACTAGTCTGTGGCCACCTAAATGCCAGAACTGGACAAGAATCTGAAACCCTCAGCACACAGGGGGACAAACACCTACCTGGAGGTGACAGCATTCCCTCCCCATATGCCCCCCTAGACACAACTACGACAACATAGCCAACAAAAACGTGTCACAACACCTGCAGTTACAACCTTTATAGAAAAGTACGTCCTCCTGAGTCTTCTTGACAAACAACAGATGTGTGGAATGGGTCTAGAGGTGAAGTTTTGTATGTAAGAAAGGAGTAACCCCCCAGCCAGATAGCATTTGCTGTGTTGGCTGTTCTAATTGTATAGAAACCAGGGTTTGGCCCCAAAGACAAGGTTTTTCTTATCAGCTGTCCACACCAGAGACATCTCCTCCATGGAACCTCATAGTACACAAACACCAACTCTTTCTATGGAATGCAGGCTGTAGGTTTTATCACCAAGCCATCATAAATCAATTGCCAGCGCCAAGCCCCAGAGGCCCAACTCAGTCCACACAGACACAGATGAGAGAGTACTGAGCAACCTTATTCGATGCATAAACAGTATTAAAATGTAATCTTGTAATTTTCTACCATACACCCCTATCAGATCACAGCAAAATCACACTCTACTTGAACAGAGCTATGCTCAATTTTGAGGCATCAAAGCCAAAGGAACTGAATAATATTAAGAAATGCTATAGATGGAAGGAAAATAGTGTGGAAATCTACCAAAAAATAATTAGACAACAACAAATTCAATCCTTTCTAGACAATTTCCTGGACAAAAGGTTTCACTGTAATAGTGAAGGTGTAAACTTAGCAGTAGAAAACCTAAACAGTATGTTTGACCTCTCAGCTTCCCGATCAAACCTAAACATTTCATGCAGATAACCTAAGAAAATTAACAACAATGACAAATGGTTTGATGAAGAACGCAAAAACCTAAGATAGAAATGGAGAAACCTATCCAACCAAAAACAAAAAGACCCAGAAAACCTGAGGCTACGCCTTCACTATGGTGAATCACTAAAACAATACAGAAATACACTACGGAAAAAGAAGGAACAGCACGTCAGAAATCAGCTCAATGTATTTGAAGAATCCATAGAATCTAACCACTTCTGGGAAAATAGGAAAACTCTAAACAATCAACAACACGAAGAGTTATCTATCCAAAATGGAGATGTATGGATAAACCACTTCTCCAATATTTTTGGCTCTATAACAAAGAACAGTAAAAACATATACATGATCAAATACAAATCTTAGAATCAACTATTAAAGACTACCAGAACCCACTGAATTCTCCAATTACATTGAATGAACTATAGGACAAAATACAAACCCTCCAAACCAAAAAGGCCTGTGGTGTTGATGGTATCCTCAATGAAATGATCAAATATACAGACCACAAATTCCAATTGGTTATACTTAAACTCTTTAACATCATCCTCAGCTCCAGCATCTTCCCCAATATTTGGAACCAAGGACTGATCACCCCAATTCACAAAAGTGGAGACAAATTTGACCCCAATAACTACCAGGGGATATGCGTCAACAGCAACCTTGGGAAAATCCTCTGCATTATCATTAACACGGGGGGCCAGTATGAAAAATGTATGGACTCACTAATTGTAAGTTGTTCTGGATAAGAGCGTCTGCTAAATGACTCAAATGCAAAAATGCAAATTAACAGCGAAAACAATGTACTGAGCAAATGTCAAATTGTATTTTTACCAAATTACCGTACAACAGACCATGTATTCACCCTGCACACCATATTTGACAAACAAACAAAACAAAACAAAAGCAAAGACTTCTCATGCTTTGTTGATTTCAAAAAACTTTTTGACTCTATTTGGCATGAGGGTCTGCTATACAAATTGATGGAAAGTGGTGTTGGGGGAAAAACATACGACATTATAAAATCCATGTACACAAACAACAAGTGTGCAGTTAAGATTGACACACACATTTCTTTCCACAGGGCCGGGGGGTGAGACAGGGATGCAGCTTAAGTCCCACCCTCTTCAACATATATATCAACGAATTGGCGAGGGCACTAGAACAGTCTGCAGCACCCGGCCTGACCCTACTAGAATCTGAAGTCAAATGTCTACTGTTTGCTGATGATCTGGTGCTTCTGCCACAAACCAAGGAGGGCCTACAGCAGCACCTAGATCTTCTGCACAGATTCTGTCAGACATGGGCCCTGACAGTAAATCTCAGTAAGACAAAAATAATGGTGTTCCAAAAAAGGTTCAGTTGCCAGGATCACGAATACAAATTCCATCTAGACACTGTTACCCTAGAGCACACAAAAAACGATACATACCTCGGCCTAAATATCAGCGCCACAGGTAACTTCCACAAAGCTGTGAATGATCTGAGAGACAAGGCAAGAAGGGCCTTCTATGCCATCAAAAGGAACATAAGATTGGACATACCAATTAGAATCTGGCTAAAAATACTTGAATCTGTTATAGAACCCATTGCCCTTTATAGTTGTGAGGTCTGTGGTCCGCTCACCAACCAAGAATTTACAAAATGGGACAAACACCAAATTGAGACTGCATGCAGAATTCTGCAAAAATATCATCAGTGTACAACGAAAAACACAAACTAATGCATGCAGAGCAGAATTAGGCCGATACCCGCTAATTATCAAAATCCAGAAAAGAGCCGTTAAATTCTACAACCACTTAAAAGGAAGCGATTTCCAAACCTTCCATAACAAAGCCATCACCTACAGAGAGATGAACCTGGAGAAGAGTCCCCTAAGCAAGCTGGTCCTGGGGCTCTGTTCACAAACACAAACAGACCCCACAGAGCCCCAGAACAGCAACACAATTAGACCCAACCAAATCATGAGAAAACAAAAAGAGAATTACTTAAACAGAGAGTACACAGTGGCAGAATACCTGACCACTGTGACTGACCCAAACTTAAGGAAAGCTTTGACTATGTACAGACTCAGTGAGCATAGCCTTGCTATTGAGAAAGGCCGCCGAAGGCAGACCTGGCTCTCAAGAAAAGACAGGCTATGTGCACACTGCCCACAAAATGAGGTGGAAACTGAGCTGCACTTCCTAGCCTCCTGCCAAATGTATGACCATATTAGAGACACATATTTCCCTCAGATTACACAGATCCACAAAGAATTCGAAAACAAACCCAATTTTGATCAACACCCTTATCTACTGGGTGAAAAACCACAGTGTGCCATCACAGCAACAATATTTGTGACCTGTTGCCACAAGAAAAGGGCAACCAGTGAAGAACAAACACCATTGTAAATACAACCTATATTTATGTTTATTTATTTTCCCATTTGTACTTTAACTATTTGCACATTGTTACAACACTGTATATATACATAATATGACATTTGAAATGTCTTTATTCTTTCGGAACTTCTGAGTGTAATGTTTACTGTTCATTTTTATTGTTTATTTCACTTTTGTTTACTATCTACTTCACTTGCTTTGGCAATGTTAACACATGTTTCCCATGCCAATAAAGCCCTTAAATTCAATTGAATTGAATTGAAATTGAATTGAGAGAAAGAGGGAGGGAGAGAGAGATACAGAGAGAGAGAGAGAGATACAGAGAGAGAGATAGAGAGAGAGAGATACAGAGAGAGAGAGAGAGAGAGAGATACAGAGAGAGATACAGAGAGAGAGAGATACAGAGAGAGAGGAGATACAGAGAGAGAGAGAGAGAGAGAGAGAGAGAGAGAGAGAGAGAGAGAGAGAGAGAGAGAGAGAGAGAGAGAGAGAGAGAGAGAGAGAGAGAGACAGAGAGAGAGAGAGAGAGAGAGAGAACCATGGCTGTGTGGTTGGAGCAGCACCAGAAGGAGGTAGTGATCCTGTCCTGTTCCCACTTCCACCTGCTGAGTTACTCTGAGCACCAGGCCCTGGTCTCCTACATCACTCAGCTGTTTAAAGACAAACTCTGCCCCCAACAGGTACAGGATAGACAAGACCCCACTACTGGCTGTCTCAGTCAGGGTTGGGGTCAGTTCAGTTTTCAGGAAGTGGTGTCAGTTGGGGGTGAGTTCAGTTTTCAGGAAGTGGTGTCAGTTTGGGTGAGTTCAGTTTTCAGGAAGTGGTGTCAGTTTGGGTGAGTTCACGTTTTCAGGAAGTGAAGTGCCCATTGTTTTCTGTCTTTATTGGCATGAAAAGTGAATAACCTCACAGATGTGTGTGCGTGTACATGTTTTACTATACTTGTGAGTACCAAAAGTCCTCACAAAAATAGTAAATTAAATTAAATTCAGAGAAGTGAGGACATTTTGCCAGTCCTCACTTGTAAAAAGGCTATTAAGGGGTTAGGGTTTAGGACATTTTTTATTTTGAATGGGAATCAATTGGTCTCCAAAAAGTCCTCAAGTATAGTAAGCCATAGCAGTGTGTGTGTGTGTGTTCTGACAGCTGAGCTCTTTGATTGACAGCTCATTTCTTCACCTCGGGGCTGAACCTGACGGAGGATACTGCTGTGGTGGTCTGCAACCCCTGTCTGACGATGAGGAAGTTAACGATGAAGAGTTTCTCCCTGCTGCTGGACTGGGTGGAGGAGCAGACTCCTGGACCGGACCTGACCGCTGTCAACATCATCTGTGGAGACTTTGTGGGTCTCAACAACTTTGCCTCTGTGGTTATTGGGCTCAATAAGAAACTGCTGAAGACAGAGAACCACAGATGACTGACAAGGGAAGGAGTGAGAAGGAGACCGACTGATAAACATGCACAGAATCCCAAATGGCTGCTAGTTCCTACTACCTATGGAGATCTAAGAGGTTTGGTTAGGTGTAATCAACATGGTACTCTGATACACTACACCAGGGGTGTCAAACTCATTCCATGGAGGGCCTAGTGTCTGCTGGTTTTTGGTTTCTCCTTTCAATTAAGACCTAGACAACCAGGTGAGGGGCGTTCCTTAATAATTAGTGACCTTATTTCATTAAGTACAAGGGAGGAGCGAAAACCCATAGACACTCAGCCCTCTGTGGATTGAGTTTGACACGTGCACTAGATCATATGAATGAGTTTGACACGTGCACTAGGTCATATGAATGAGTTTGACACGTGCACTAGGTCATATGAATGAGCTTGACACGTGCACTAGATCATATGAATTAGTTTGACACGTGCACTAGGTCATATGAATGAGTTTCCATGTTCTCTATGTCTATGTACAGCACAGGGTGTCAGGTTTACTGTGTTGTTAATGTGTATGATGTATACAATGGGAGGTTTTTTCATTCTTCTAAAGTGATGCCAAAGGAAAAGTTCCATCCTCGGATGGACAATATAATATATTCACAAACCTTCCATAACAAAGCCATCACCTACAGAGAAATTAACCTTGAGAAGAGCCCCCTTAGCAAGCTGGTCCTGGGGCTCTGTTCACATACACAAACAGACCCCACAGAGCCACAGGGCAGCAACCAAATCATGAGAAAACAAAAATATAATTACTTGACACATCGGAAAGAATTAACAAAAAAACAGAGGATGATGTCTATTTTTTTCATTTTTCTAAAGGAAAAGTTCCATCCTCGGATGGACAATATAATTTATATTCTATTCTACACTGCTCAAAAAAACAAAGGGAACACTACAATTACACATCCTAGATCTGAGTGAATGAAATAATCTTTTTAAATACTTTTTTCTTTACATAGTTGAATGTGCTGACAACAAAATCACACAAAAATTATCAATGGAAATCAAATTTATCAAACCCATGGAGGTCTGGATTTGGAGTCACCCTCAAAATTAAAGTGGAAAACCACACTACAGCTGATCCAACTTTGATTGTAATGTCCTTAAAACAAGTCAAAATGAGGCTCAGTAGTGTGTGTGGCCTCACGTGCCTGTATGACCTCCCTACAACGTCTGGGCATGCTCCTGATGAGGTGGCGGATGGTCTCCTGAGGGATCTCCTCCCAGACCTGGACTAAAGCATCCGCCAACTCCTGGATAGTCTGTGGTGCAACGTGGCGTTGGTGGATGGAGCGAGACATGATGTCCCAGATGTGCTCAATTGGATTCAGGTCTGGGGAACGGGCGGTCCATAGCTTCAATGCCTTCCTCTTGCAGGAACTGCTGACACACTCCAGCCACATGAGGTCTAGCATTGTCTTGCATTAGGAGGAACCCAGGGCCAACCGCACCAGCATATGGTCTCACAAGGGGTGTGAGGATCTCATCTCGGTACCTAATGGCAGTCAGGCTACCTCTGGCGAGCACATGGAGGGCTGTGCGGCCCCCCAAAGAAATGCCACCCCACACCATGACTGACCCACCGCCAAACCGGTCATGCTGGAGGATGTTGCAGGCAGCAGAACGTTCTCCATGGCGTCTCCAGACTCTGTCACGTCTGTCACGTGCTCAGTGTGAACCTGCTTTCATCTGTGAAGAGCACAGGGCGCCAGTGGCGAATTTGCCAATCTTGGTGTTCTCTGGCAAATGCCAAACGTCCTGCACGGTGTTGGGCTGTAAGCACAACCCCCACCTGTGGACGTCGGGACCTCATACCACCCTCATGGAGTCTGTTTCTGACTGTTTGAGCAGACACATGCACATTTGTGGCCTGCTGGAGGTCATTTTGCAGGGCTCTGGCAGTGCTCCTCCTGCTCCTCCTTGCACAAAGGCGGAGGTAGCAGTCCTGCTGCTGGGTTGTTGCCCTCCTACGGCCTCCTCCACGTCTCCTGATGTACTGGCCTGTCTCCTGGTAGCGCCTCCATGCTCTGGACACTACGCTGACAGACACAGCAAACCTTCTTGCCACAGCTCGCATTGATGTGCCATCCTGGATGAGCTGCTCTACCTGAGCCACTTGTGTGGGTTGTGACTCCGTCTCATGCTACCACTAGAGTGAATGCACCGCCAGCATTCAAAAGTGACCAAAACATCAGCCAGGAAGCATAGGAACTGAGAAGTGGTCTGTGGTCACCACCTGCAAAACCAGACCTTTATTGGGGGTGTCTTGCTAATTGCCTATAATTTCCACCTGTTGTCTATTCCATTTGCACAACAGCATGTGAAATGTATTGTCAATCAGTGTTGCTTCCTAAGTGGACAGTTTGATTTCACAGAAGTGTGATTGACTTGGAGTTACATTGTGTTGTTTAAGTGTTCCCTTTATTTTTTTTAGCAGTGTACATGCAAATATACTACATGCAGGGGCAAATACATACATGTTTATTGAACTCAGATCATCAGTTTGAGGAATCTTTATTTCAAACATTAACACTAGCAACACCTTGAAAAAGTCATATTACAGCAGGTACCCTGAGAACTGAGTTGTAATGTAAACTATGTGCTGTCCTGCCCTCCTGTGTTCAAACAGAAGTGCAGTGAAACATATTGCAGGGCCAGATTTTATTCTGGAGGTAAAACAAAATAAGACTTAAAATAATAAAATAAAAACAGGAAAAAGCAGAAATGATGGCAGATCACTGAACAAAATATACATTTGAACTCACACCTAACAAGGTGCACAATTAATGTCACAACATTAACAGTAGAAAAGTAGATTTATTGTAGTAAAATATAGTAAACATATACCTTAAATAAACATTGATTGATGTAATTCACAAAAAGCATTTTCACATTAGGCACTTCATTGATACAGCCAGACAGAAAAAACATGGATTTGACAATACAAAGCTACTCTAAGTTTACTATCACCCTCCGATTAAAACAATAACACACAACTATGAGATGAATAAAGAAGACGGAATATCTAGCAGTTCAAATCTAATTAATGAAATATAATCGAACTCCTTCAAGAGGCAATAATTTCTGAAAAAGAAGCAACATGGCTTCCTGCTTTAAAGTCTCTATATGGGAAGATCTCAATTGCATACTCCTCACATCCTCTCATCTCCTCAAAACCCATTGGAGGAGAAGGTCAGAGGGGAAGGAACTCTGGCTTTCTCATCCAATGGGTTTTGAGAAAGAGACGAAGAGAGAGGACGCGAGGAGTATGCATTTGACACCTTCCCTATGACTTTGGTGTACCTTCTCTTATCACACCTCCCTTCAGATCTCCCTCAGCAGAATCCCATAGGGGCGGATGGAGCGCTCCACAATCCTCCTCTCTTCTTCCTCAGATGTGCCGTCATTAACTGGAACAAGCCAGTAGTCAACTCTCTTACAGATCTTCCGTTGGGCTGGGTTGATGCGGTTCTGAAGGACCATCCTGTAGGTTTTCCCGTTTGTCTTCGACAGAAAGTCTCTAGCGTAGCCGCTGGCTTGGCTGAGGTCAGGAGTGGAGTAGATCCCTCTGCCGTAGAGCTGCCTAGCTCCTGCTTTATAGTGGGACTGGATGATGCCTTTAGCCCCGTCCTCGCTGGTACCGTGATACGACACTGGCCACTCCCCGGTAACCGAGTGTGTCCGAAACCCGTTTGGACCGAGCCACGTGTTATCTCCGTATTTGTCCAGAACCTTCAACGCGATGCGTTTCCATCCACACGGTCGCTTGTAGCCCTCACCGCCTCTCTCAAAACACTCAGAGTCGGAAACATTGGTGAAGTCATAATCAAACTCCCTATCAAAGAATTCTGCCTCGTCCACGTAGAGTTCAGTGTCGGTTGCCTTGCTTTTGTCCTCACTGAAGAAAAGCTTTGACACCCCCCATGCCAACCATGACACAGGGTTGAGCCACTGCAGGAGAGAGGTGACACCCAGGACAGAACCGATGAGAAAGCCCTCCACAGTCAAAAGGTTATCAGGCGTCTTGCCAGGGTTGTTCCTCTGGAAGTCGGACAAGGGCCTCACCGTGGCTCCCATGGCCACTGATAGGGCCTCATAGCGTACACCCTCGTCAAGCATGGATGGTCTGAGAACAGTTGTTAACCGTGAAAGCCTCTCAAACCAGTAAGGATATTTGTTTGTAGCTGATTGGAAAGCAGTCGTTAGCAGCTAACACCTCAAACTTCTCTCAGGCGCTCCGTTTGTATCCAGTCTCTGCAAACTAACCAAATGAAAAGCCTTCTGGCTATTTTTCACAGGTACTGCCTCCACCAACAAAATCATTGACATACTTTCAGTTTCATTTTTAGTCTTGGCAGAATTGGGAGGGACATACCATTTGGTCTTGGGCAGGGGACCAGTCTTATAAACATGAAGTTAATAGCAGACTAGCTGGGACGTATCAGTACTCTGAATACAAAGAAAGGAAATCCTGCACACTGTAAATGCTGCTCCTAAGTGCTTTATTCCTGTGCCACAATTAAATTGTTTGACAGCAGTAGCCTTCGTCAGGCCTTCATTGCTTGTGTTACCTCACTCCCCCCTCTCTCCCCTGAGCTTTCGCTTACCTCCAGCACACACACACCGCAGACTTTGAACTGATCTGAATTTATATGAAGGCTAGTTAACTTGTGAATCTTATTATGTGAGCTTTAACTCAAACACTTTTAATGAACTAGCATAGGTCTACTATTTATTTATTTTATCTCTGACTTTTATAGCCTACTGGTCTCATAGAGAGCTACTCTCTCACTTTATTATGTTGGGAGGAGTGACTCTTTGAACATCCGCTGGCCAGCCCTAACCCGTTTGGCTTGTTTCTTGTGCTTTTCTTTCCATGACTCCTGTGCGCTTTGTTGACTATGAACTTGCTTGTTTACCCGACCTGGGCCAGACAATGTTTGTTCCCACGCTCGCAACTCTGACTCTCTATTGGTTACACGGACTCCTGGCCTCCCATCCTATTCTAATCCTCTCTTGCCGGCCTTGTATTCATGTTATCTGATGAAATTCCTGTACAATATGATCTTGTTGCCATCTGATGCACATGAAAATATCATAAGAAATTCAACAGTGCAAAGTCCTCCCTGTCCTCTGCTGTGCCCTGATTGTATTGCTGCTGATAATATCTGGAAATGTTATTGTACACCCTGGCCTGTCTACTGTTGCTAGCACCAATTCTGACTAATGCTCTGATTTCTGCTTCAATGATTTCTGCTCTCGTGAAAGCCTGGGTTTTCTGCATGTTAACACTAGAAGCTTATTGCCTAAAATGTGTGGGTTCACAGCTCCAATCCAGATGTGTTAGTCATTACTGAAACATGGTTAAGAATGAGTGTTCTGAACACTGATGTTAACCTTTCTGGTTATAACCTTTTTAAGCAAGACAGATCCTCCAAAGGTGGTGTAGTGGCAATCTTCACCAAGGAACACCTTCAGTTCTCAGTTGACTACACCAAGTTTGTCCCCAAACGATTTAATTTGCTGGTTTTCAGCATCAAGCTTTCAAATAGCTCTTTGTTGACTGTTATCGTCCACCATCAGTTTTCTCCTGGCCCCTTACACTAAGTCTGAATTTGTCCTGCTAGGTGACCTAAAATTGGGACATGCTTAAACCACCTGACCAAGTCTTAAAACAATGGGACTCCCTAAATCTCTCTCAGATCATTGCCAATCCCAGAAGGTATGATCCCAAACACCAAGAAAATGCTACTCTCCTTGATGTTATCCTCAAATAATCCTGATAGGTATCATTCTGTTGTTTTCTGTAATGACCTTAGTGATCACTGTTTTACGGCCTGTGTTCGTAATGGCTGCTCAGTTAAACGACCTGTCCTGATTTGTCAGACGGTTGATGGAAAAACTTTAATGGGCAAGCCTTCCTTCATGACCTGGCCTCTGTCTATTGGTATAGCATCAGCTCTGTCGAAGATGCTTGGACCTTATTTTATTGATATTTTCAGTATTATTGTTAACAAGCACGCCCCCATAAAGAAACTTAAAATTATAAACAGGTTCCGCCCCTGGTTCGACCATGATCTGGCAGAGTTACTCTACATCAGGAACACCATTTGGTGAAAGGCTCGGCCTACAAATACTCAGGCTGACTGGCTATCGTTCATTTTTTACGCGTTACGTGCTTCAGCACTCGCCGGTCCCGTTTTGTGAGCTTGTGTGGTCTACCACTTCGCGGCTGAGCCGTTGTTGCTCCTAGATGTTTACAATTCACAATAACAGCACTTACAGTTGTATGTGTCCAATTCAGAGGGTGAATGGGCAAGACAAAACATTTCAGAGCCTTTAAACGGGGTATAGTAGTAGGTGCCAGGCGCACCGGTTTGTGTCAAGAACTGCAACGCTGCTGGGTTTTTCACGCTCAACTGTTTCCCGTGTGTATCAAGATTGGTCTACCACCCCAATGCCAATGACATCCAGCAAACTTGACACAACTGTGGGAAGCCTTGGAGTCAACATGGGCCAGCATTCCTGTGGAACGCTTTCGACACCTTGTAGAGTCCATGCCCCGCCGAATTGAATCTGTTCTGGGGACAAAAGGGGGGCTGCAACTCAATATTAGGAAGGTGTTCTTAATGTTTAGTACACTCAGTGTAAGTGAAGGAAAAAGGACAGGAGTCACAGTTAGTCAATGAGTTCTGTGATAGGAGATGTGCTTCATACTGTTTTTAATGGTTTACTGTCTTTAAGTAGACTTTATTCAGGAAGGTCTGGTGGATGCATGGCCTTTTCCCATCAGGACTGGGTCTTAGTGTGCTTTGGGAGTAGATTCATCTGAGAACTCGCCCCTCTATCTCTCTCAGATCCACGTGGTAGGGTGTTGTTTCTCTGTGTGTAATTCATTTGAAAGGACACTTGGTCACATGCATCCTCTAGCATCTGCGGTGTTCCAGAAAAAGGAAAGAGAAAGTCCTCTAACCTGGTGTCACTCTTTTTTGCCTCTTTCCAAGAAACAACTTCTACCTACTCCAAATGAAAGGGGAGCCGGTATGGACCGTGTTGAAATAGTTGGAGAGAGTTGATTAGCCAGGGTAGTTTTTGAACATTACTTCAAACCCCCAAAATCATTTAGTTCTGATTTATTTATTTATTTGAACCAAATATGTAACATGTTATCTTCCTTTGAAAATTATGACCTAGGCCATGTTAACAAAAATGATTTAATTTGCAAAATAAAAACAATACAACAAGGCCCAAGTCAGACGTAAAATAGGGGTTGGTTTGGAATCCGACAAGTGTCATTTCCTCTTTAGCCCTCGCCGTGGGTCCCTGCCGTTGCCCATAGATACTGTGGGCTTGGGGGCGGTGCCAGGACCTCCGGTGCCACGCCCAGTCTGCCGTCCTGCGCTCCCATAGGTTGGATTCCGGGAGAGCGGAGAGCATCCATAGGAAGAGTATGTGAGGGTGGGGACTGAGGGGGTGGAGCTTTGACTGACAGAAGAACTGTTCTGGGACTCAACTTTAGACTGGAGAGAGGGAAGGAGAGGAGAGGAGAGGAGAGGAAAGGAGAGGAGAGGAGAGGAGAGGGGGATGAGATGAATAGAGAAAAAAGGAGGAGAGGAGATTTAGAAAATAACATGTATAATAACAAAATTGATAGATCATTCCGGTGTGTGTGTACTCACCGGCCTGTTGGTCTGGGCCAGTACCTCTGGGTTTGGTTCACTAAAGTTTGGGACCTCAGAGAAGACCATGCAAAACCTACAGTACAACACAGATCAATACCTTACCTAAATCTATAACACATTAACATACAAGCCAACCGTTTGTGTCTTACTCTCCTATCTTCTGCAGGTCTCCTCCTCTGCCTGTGTAGAGAGTCAGACAGCCCTTCCACAGGGATGCATAGCTGACGAGAGAGAGAACAAAATAAATGACTGTGTGGATGGATGGATGGATGGATGGATGGATGGATAGATGGATAGATGGATAGATGGATAGATGGATAGATGGATAGATAACCATACCCTCGTGTGAGGCGGAGGATGTCTCCTGGCTGGATGAGTCCACCCACCTCATCCCATACAGACAGGGTGATGCACCCACTCTTATCAGCCACCTGACAGGAGAGAGGGGGGAGGGAGTAGAATAGAAAGGGAGGGTGGAAGAGAGCAATTATCCCACTTTACAGGAGAGAGGTAGAGAAGGTCTGCATGAAGGAGAGAGTGGAAAGGGGGAGGATGAGACTGAAGAAAGATGGAGAATCGGGAGAAAATCATGAGGACATTAACCCCACCTTGCAGGAGCGAACCTCATGCCCATCCTTTGTTTTAGTCACCCTTCCTTCAGGTAGAGGGAAGGAGAGAGTGATTTAATCAATTCATTAATCACCACATGAAACACAGAAAAATGGAACTGTCATTCACCACTCACCCATTTCCAACACGATAAAGATTACATTTACATTTTTCAACCCCGACTTTATGTCTTTTATCAAGAATTGACCATCGTTTGGCACAATGGCGGACATATTTGATAAAGTCACTGAAGCGAGACAAGAGAGACTAGTATAGTGATCGTGTACATCGTTCAAATCAGAATCTAATTAATTTCCAGCTGTCAAAATTAAGGAGACGAGAAAAACACATGCTTTTCAAGGGGGCGTGTTACGTTCAGAGATCATTCCCCCGTAATAAAGAAGAAAGTCTCCATATAGCTATTTCGAAAGCCTATTAAAGAACTAATTGCTTATTAAAGAACTAATTGCATTTGTCGATGTACTTGCCGTATATTTTCTTCAATGCAACTGCAAACACTAAAAGCGAACAATCGTCACGAACAGGATTCGAACCTGTGCGGGGAAACCCCATTGGATTTCGAGTCCAACGCCTTAACCTCTCGGCCACCGTGACTGTGCATGATCTGAGCGACAACGTTGCTATAGAAACCTTCTCACGATATTGGAATATTTGGTTCGATATTTTATTAAGAAACTGGTTACGTTAGATAAGCGGTATTGTAAAAGAGCGCTGGTTTCATACTGCATCCTTGTTTTTCTTTGTAGCTATGTACTGTAAATAAACTGAAGGTAAGTCATTTTCCCTTTTCCTGTACTGCACTGTAGTTTGCCAAATTGCCACGGGGTGGCGCCTATGCACTGCCGATGAGATGGGTGAGGCCAGGGCCACACAAAAAAGCACATTAATCGAAAAACAAAATCATAGACCATATCAGGGTTCTATAGCTATCTAGGTTAAAAAGGTTTATAATGTAATGTCTACAATGTATATTGTAAAATATGACATACATGTAAATAAAATATAAAGGAAGAATAACAGAAACAATGAAAAGTTAGTCTTTATATCAAAACAGCTGAATATTTAATTAATCTGGCCTGTTGGCCTACAAGGTTGTAACATTTCTACTACAGAAAATAAACAACGATTTTAGCTATGTTACAGATACAACTTTCATAAATACATTCATGTATTTAAATTACAACAATTATGTAATCCTACAAACAACTGTATTAAAATTGCACATAATATTGAGTAAATATTTAAGGGGCACAAATCTATTAAAAATATTGAGAGTTCAAGCCAAAACCCGATATTTCCTTGGTCTCAAAACAATTCTAACACAAAAAATGAAGGAATGCAAATTCCTACATATTCATAAGGCCTATTAGAATATAGTTCCTGGTTAAATAGGGCCTGGTTATATACATATCACAGGAGGCTGCTGAGGGGAGGAAAGCTAATATTAATGGCTGGAATGGAGTGAATGGAATGTTATCAAACACATGGTAACCATGGAAATTCCATGTATTCCATTCCAGCCATTACTATGAGCCAGCCCTCCCCAATTAAGTTGCAACCGGCCGCCTGTGATATATGTTCTGTATATGAGACCTGTGTTAGTTTGACTGTTGACTTTACAGACTTTGCATAAAAATGGATTAAGACATGAAGAAAATAAATACAAGTGTGTGTGTGTGTGTGGATTATATGATGGGGATCTGGGCCTTCTCGTCCTGTTGCTTCTTTACTTCCTGTTGGTACCTAGAAACACAGAGGGACAGGGTTGACCTCCGACCTTAACAAAACAAAACAAAGGTTCAAACAGACTATAATCATAGGTCTCAGAGTGCAATGACAAGTTGGCAGGCATGCTATCCTTTACATTCAGAAAAGGACCCTGACAGACTTTATCAATTTATCCATATCTCTGTTTTTAAAGTGTAACCAAATGAAAGAAAATGACCATGGTTATAGAGTAACGCATTTTTTTTATATGAACTTAAGTGATCTTGCAAAATACAACTCGAAATGCCAACTTGTCTCTAAAAAGTTCCAAACTGGTATAGACACCATGTCCAAGGACAATGGACTGTCATAAATACTTCTGTTTGTGACCAAACACAGTTTGCCCTCCAATGCAGTACTGTATATTTATTAACAATGTTATTGTCAGACAATGGCATTGATTGACATACACTCCATCAGATTTCTGTGTCTATTTCCCTATTTGTCTCCTTATAGGGTTTGATTGAATAGGGACCCACTGCCATGCATGTCAGTTTGCATTGCTCTGTATCTAACTATGGAGTCTGTCCCACTCACATCCAGATTCTAACAAGTTGGTTGGCTCCTGCCAATCCAAGAAAACCGTTGACAAAAAAAAGACCCCAGTTCTTCGGAATGATGACAAGGGAATATCGGGACCAAATGACACCTGGAAAATAGAGGGGTGACAAGACAGGTAAAGAGACAGGTAAAGTTGGAATTTGTTACTGTTGTATAATGGATGTAAATGTAAAATGTTGTCTTTCCCCACTTTCCCACAATGTCCATTACCTGTGACCATGAGTACTCCAGACTGAGAGACACTCAGTTTATCAGCTGGCCGTGTCATATCAGCCATGCCAGCCATAACCAGGCCCTGTAGAGTTAGAGGTAGAGAAAGAGAGATACAGATAGAGAGAGAGAGAGAGAGAGAGATAGAAAGATACAGAGGGAGAGAGAGAGATACAGAGAGAAAGATACAGAGAGAGAAAGATACAGAGAGAGAGAGAGAGAGAGAGAGAGAGAGAGAGAGAGAGAGAGAGAGAGAGAGAGAGAGAGAGAGAGACAGAGTCACACAACTATGCATACTTTTAGCACCATTATAAGATGTCCAGCACATGAGACACTTCTTAAATATATCAACTCTTACCCATTTACACACTGGTGCCCAGAAGAAAACTGTCTTTGGACCTTCAAAGGGAAACATAACAGTGTTTATTTGGAAAGGTTAGAAAGGAAAGTTGCACAAGCTTACAATGATTCACGTGAGAGTTAGTTTTGTATAAACAATTGGTTGATACCGCAACAGAGAGATCACACTGGGCACACACTGTTTGAATCAACGTTGTTTCCACATCATTTCAATGAAATGAAGTGGAACCAATTTGGAATAGATGTTGAATTGACGTCTGTGCCCAGTGGGAAATACCACAGCAGTTAGGCCTGAAGACGTTCCATAAACAGATAAACGTTGTGCAGCATTAAACTGCGAAATCATTTGATTTGTTGCTGAGGAGTGAAATATAAAGATACAGCTCAAATAAAAGAGATAAAGTGAAAGTGAAAGTGAAAGTGAAAGTGGCTGGTATCAGTATCTTCCCAAGGTTTTCTCCTGCCCTCATCTTGCCAAGGGCTATCATTTTTTGAAGAGTGCTAAAACATGGTGGTTGAACATCATTTAACTTCACACCTATTGTCCATTCATAGTCTTCCCTTCTCTCGTCTATTTGATAGCTAGACTTGTTGTTTTATAAACTATAATAACATGGTTTTACTTAACTGATTTCCTTTTAATCTTTGTTCTGATTTTAATCTCATATCGACTTTCCTCTGCATCATTATACTCCCAAACTATTTTGATATTAATTAACAATATCCCATGAACCAGGAATTGAGAACCACTGCTTGGAACGGGAGACCCATGGGGTGGCGCATAATTGGCCCAGCGTCGTCCAGGGTAGGGGAGGGAATGGCCGGCAGGGATGTAGCTCAGTTGGTAGTTTGCCAGGGTTGTGGGTTCAATTCCCACGGGGGGCCAGTATGAAAACATTTAAATAAAAACATAATAATGTATGCACTCACTAACTGTAAGTCGCTCTGGATAAGAGCGTCTGCTAAATGACTAAAATGTAATGTAAATGGAACAACCTTCTGTCTACACCCTTCAAGACACATTAACACTCTTCTATAGTTCAGCCCTAACTCCCCAGGGCTGAGAGAAGAGCCCCTCCCTCATCAGCATTCAGATCAGCAGCATCAACACTGTTTGTCCTTATTCACCTCTAAGTTAAATTCAGCTACAGATTGACGTCAATGCTATACCAACACTGCTGTAATAAAACTATGTTCGTCCCATTTAAGATAACCTCAATGTCAAGGTTGCACATGGCTTGCTAGCCTAGGACTGACTAGTGCTGACCAAGGGTCCCCCATCCAAAGTCCATGCACTGCTACTGTAGGTTTCAACTCAATCTAAGTTTAGAGCATTCATTCATATGACCATTTCTGTGTTCCTGTTGATACAAATGTTTAATGCTCTTGTTGTTTGTCAGTAAATGATAGCAATCCGTTTTTTCTCCTTTTTGAAAGTGTCCACCCCCCACAAAAAGTAAATTGCTGTTTTAAATGGTAGAGTTTATCCAGAATTATTGGAAGAATTCTTATCCAGAATTATCCAGAGGTATGCATTAAGTAGGCACAGACAGCAGGCGTCATTTCCATGATAAATATTGAAAATATTGAAAATGTGTATAAGAGGTGAGTATTCAGTCTAGTGTCTGTACTGTACGATGGAGAGACAGTTAGAACAGTGGAAGTGGTGCAGATCTCTCATGTTGAGGTGAGCCTGATAATAATGATTTCCTTACCTGCTGGATGGTTGTAGAAAGGTCTCAGTTTAGCAGGTAGTTTGAGCTCGATCTGGTTAAGAATCCTGTGGTATGAAGCTCTAACTCCCGCTAAAGCCATGTCTGGAGATTGGAGTTTTATTTCCTACTTTTGTTGAACTTGGTACCGACAGTTCAAAATAAAGAAATAGTATGTGCTGTATTGGAGAACTAGTACACCCTGTCATTGATTGGCTATACTAACTAGAACAAAGAATAGCCTGTATGAACCATTGGCAGAAAGCAGGCTCATCTACCCATAGTGTCTAATCTATTATGTAGGAGTGTCACCAGAGGGGGTGGTACTGAAATCTAAACCCCGCCCCAAACAAACTGCTATTGGTAGGGAGAGTAAGCCCACCCTATGAGCCCACCCCATTTTGCAATTCCTAGAAAACAAGGCCACATTCAGTTGCCAAACGCGGTCTATAGTTTGGTCTACATGTCGGAGAGGCATGTTTGTTCTATATTACATATTTCTATCTGAACGTTCCAAAACGTTGTATTGTGCTGAAGTGCCCCACATGTGATTGTGGCTTGTACAAGGCAAAGACACAATGTAAACAATAAACTGATGAAGCCACACTTCTCTTTTCACTTAGCTCAGTGTGATGACGTTGGCCGTTAACCTCATGCACATGAGAAAGGTTTCTTCAAGTCAGGAACAGTTTTATCTCAAATGGATAATTTATTTTCAATAAATATATACATACCACAATGTCCTAAAATCAGACAAAGCGCTAAAAGGCTAAAACAAAGAGTTAATGTTAAAAAAGATAACATTAACCATCATCAGACTCAAACATTCCCCATCTTTAAAGTATTGTGTGAATCTGTAAATGTTTCTTAGCCTAATCTTACCTTGAACTAATTTTACCATCATCTTCACACAGACGTGCTGTCATGGTCCTCTGTAGCTCAGCTGGTAGAGCACGGCGCTTGTAACGCCAAGGTAGTGGGTTCGATCCCCGGGACCACCCATACACAAAAATGTATGCACGCATGACTGTAAGTTGCTTTGGATAAAAGCGTCTGCTAAATGGCATATTATATTATTATTATCCCCACATCGTCACATACTTACTAACAGCATGAATTGTGATTTGCAGAGGGAGGGGTGTTATTGAGTTGGAAGATTCTGTGGTGGTTGAAGTCCTCAAAGATGAAATTGCATTTAATCAAGTTAATCAGATCCACTAGTTAGTAAGTGTCACCAGTTCAAAATAATCCAACAATGGATGGGCCTCTGCTAACTGCTTTCTTTTTAATTCAGAAGCCCCTGCTTCCTGTTGCTTCTTTACTTCCTGTTGATACCTAGAAACACAGAGGGACAGGGTTGACCTCCGACCTTAACAAACCAAAACAAAGGTTCAAACAGACTATATTCATGTCTCAGAGTGCAAAAACAAGTTGGCAGGCATGCTATCCTTTACATTCAGCGAAGGACTCTGACAGACTTTATCAATTTATCCATATCTCTGTTTTTAAAGTGTAACCAAATAAAAGACAAATAGATAAAGAGTAGTTATAGAGTAACAGGTTGTTTTATATGGACTGTATTCTAGTGATCTCTACAACCTTTAGGACCGGTTAGCTAACTCTGTCAAATGTAGCGCACATTCCAAAGCAGTAGACGTCACATACTTATTTAGTGTTGTACCCATAGAGACACAACAGGATCTACATTTATCTCTGTGGTTATATCACTCAGTTGACAGGAAACAGAAGGCTTGGCATAAAATGCGCCTGGTTTAAACCACAACAAAGAAGGCAAAGCCCAAGGACAATGTCACTAGCTGTCATAAATGTGTGACCATGCACACTTTGCCCTTCAGAGCAGTTCTGTGTGTTTAACTAGCCTGCTGTCAGACAACGACTGACATACAGAACCTCCCGTCAACAAATTATTATGATTTTCCACCCTAATATGGTTTGATTGAATAGGGCCCACAGATATCAAATCAAATCGAATCACAGTGTATGTAAAATTGCAGGCCACATGTTGGTGTGTAGCGCTGTATCTAACTCTGTCTGTTCCACTCACATCCAGATTCTAAAGAGTTGGGTGGCTCCTGACGCTCCAAGAAAACAGTTGCAACAAAACAGAAACCAATTCTTGGGAATGATGACCAGGGACCATCTGGACCAAATAACACCTGTAAAATAGTGGAGAGACAGGTAAAGAGACAGGTAAAGGGACAGGTAAAGGGACAGGTAAAGAGACAGGTAAAGAGACAGGTAACGAGACAGGTAAAGAGACAGGTAAAGAGACAGGTAAAGGGACAGGTAAAGGGACAGGTAAAGAGACAGGTAAAGAGACAGGTAACGAGACAGGTAAAGAGACAGCTAAAGGGACAGGTAAAGAGACAGGTAAAGGGACAGGTAAAGGGACAGGTAAAGAGACAGGTAAAGAGACAGGTAAAGAGACAGGTAACGAGACAGGTAAAGAGACAGGTAAAGGGACAGGTAAAGTTGGAACATCTGAATGTTGTTTCTGCTTCAGAAATGTATTACTGTTGCATAATGGGGCGGCAGGTAGCTTAGTGGTTAAGAGCGTTGTGCCAGTAACCGAAAGGTCGCTGGTTCTAATCCCTGAGCCGACTAGGTGAAAAATCTGTCGATGTGCCCTTGAGCAAGGCACTTAACCCTAATTGCTCCTGTAAGTCGCTATGGATAAGAGCGTCTGCTAAATGACTAAAATTTTATAAAAATCCAATATTAGCTTTCCCCACTTTTCTCATAATGTTGTGTGTGATTTCCACATGGTGCGAACACTGGGCTCTGATGCAGTCCAATGCGAGAGACTCAACTCACTTCCCACCACTCATAGATAGGACAATGATATCCTATCTTGTGAACTCAAGGAACTTTAGAGTTCATTAACAAATGTTAAGAAACCACCTAGCCAGCCTACAACTATCACTTCTCTTGTCATGTCCAGGGGTCCTAGGCCTGGCTAACTGACCTGTAACCTGATTGAATGTGTGCATTAGGTGAGGGCTAAGAGTATGTCAGTGTTGTATGTGAGGGTACCGGCTAGGAGACATCTGACCAGGATCAGGGTTAGTCAGTGTTGTATGTGGGGGTACCGGCTAGGAGACATCTGACCAGGATCAGGGTTAGTCAGTGTTGTATGTGAGGGTACCGGCTAGGAGACATCTGACCAGGATCAGGGTTAGTCAGTGTTGTATGTGAGGGGCCCGGCTAGGAGACATCTGACCAGGATCAAGGTTAGTCAGTGTTGTATGTGGGGGTCCCGGCTAGGAGACATCTGACCAGGATCAGGGTTAGTCAGTGTTGTATGTGAGGGGTACCGGCTAGGAGACATCTGACCAGGATCAGGGTTAGTCAGTGTTGTATGTGGGGGTACCGGCTAGGAGACATCTGACCAGGATCAGGGTTAGTCCCCAGTGTTTTGTATGTGGGGGAACCGGCTAGGAGACATCTGACCAGGATCAGGGTTAGTCAGTGTGTATTGGTGACCGGCTAGGAGACATCTGACAGATCAGGTTAGTCAGTGTGTATGTGAGGGTCCGGCTAGGAGACATCTGACCAGGATCAGGGTTAGTCAGTGTTGTATGTGGGGGTACCGGCTAGGAGACATCTGACCAGGATCAGGGTTAGTCAGTGTTGTATGTGGGGGTCCCGGCTAGGAGACATCTGACCAGGATCAGGGTTAGTCAGTGTTGTATATGAGTGTACCGGCTAGGAGACATCTGACTTGTTGGTTCAAGTGATTGTGACCAAAATATTTATACATAAAGGAAAATACAAAGGCACAGCCCAGCACCTGACCCGGTTGCTGCTGCCACCTAGGGGTGGGTTTGGAAGTGGAAAATGGATTGTATAACTATGCCCTGCTCACTACCTAACTCCATACCATAACACAAATAAACAGCTAATGACTTCCAGTCGTGGAAAACTTCCTGTAGTTGTTTGTAACTAACCGTATCCAAGGACCAAAACACGATGATCATCTCTAATTCAAAATAGTCTGAGACAGTGTGGTCTCAAACAGGCACGGGTCATGTTGTGTAATTTCAGGACAGCGCTATCACACAGGGACATACCGTTACAGTCCGTGTTAACAGTCAGTGGGGCTTTTACAAAGCAGCAATGGAAAACCGATGATGCAGGGGCTGGTGTGAAAGTTCCATGCCATCATGTCTGAATCCATGCCAGTAATTCTATCAGTGAACTGTTCCTCTGAAGGGTCATCAAGCCATACACACACACACACAAACACACACCTCCTGTCCTCTCTGTCCTCATTGCTCCATTACCTGTGGTCATGAGTACTCCAGACTGAGAGAGACTCAGTTTATCAGCTGGTCGGGTCATATCAGCCAGACCCGCAAAAACCAGACCCTGTAGAAAGAGACAGAGAGAGAGAGAGAGAGAGAGAGAGAGAGAGAGAGAGAGAGAGAGAGAGAGAGAGAGAGAGAGAGAGAGAGAGAGAGAGAGAGAGAGAGAGAGAGAGAGAGAGAGAGAGAGAGAGAGAGAGAGAGAGATACAGATCACACAACCATGCATATTTGTACTACAACATAGGACCATTATATAATGCCCAGCATATGAGACACTGTTTAAATGTGTAACACATCGTTTGGAGGGTCGGAGAGTGGAACATTAACTGTATGGAATATTAAGATTAGACAGAGGCAGCATACAGGAGCTTATAAAACGTGACTTAATTCTCTAGAAGCGACCTCCATCTCAATCAGTTCACGTGACAGACAGGAATTTGTAGACGCAGGTCAGGCGTTACTAATTCATTATTATTAACTCCCATTTCCACGCTTACATGCAATTGCTTCTTATGAGTTCCTGTATGCTGCCTCTGTGCGGTCTTAATTTCCTGTGTGGCTCAGTTGGCAGAGCATGGCGCTTGCAATGCCAGGGTTGTGGGTTCGATTCCCATGAGGGACCAGTACAAAACTGTATGCACTCTGGATAAGAGCGTCTGCTCAATGACCAAAATGTTGAACTCTCTGAACCCTCTAAACGCTCTCAGAACCCTCAAAATACCCTCTGAACCCTCTAAACACTCCCTGAACCATTTAAACTGCTTCACTGCAAATATTTTTACACTTACCCATTTACACACTGGTGCCCAGAAAAAAATTGTCTTTGGACCTACAAACGAAACAAAACGTGATTTAATTATTAAGGTTAATTATTACAAGGTTAGCAATGACAGTTGCGTTGAATACATAACGTTACAGTGGTTTACGTGACATTTAGTTTTGTGCAAAAAGTTGATTGATTCCACAATAAAGGTTTTAAGATGAAGCGACATTGAAAGTGACTGGTTAAATCACTTCCTGGATAATTCCACCTGTTGTCATTCTCGTGCCCTCAGCTTGTCTCTGTCCTCCTTCCACTGGTCACCCTGTACTTTAATGCCTTGCCAATTGAAAACTTGCCAACTTGATAATTTATTGAAGACTGCCAGCATGTAGTGGCATGCACGTCGTTTAGCTACATACCTATTGTCCATTCATAGGCTTCTCTTCTCTTGTCTATTTGATAGCTAGACTGGTTGTTTTATAAACTATAAATTGTTATTAATGTGTAATGCTTTTACATCTCATACTGACTTCCCTCTGCTTTATCATGGTGCCAACCTATTTTGATATTAACAACATCCCATGAACCAGGAATTGAGAACCACTGCTTTGAACAACCCTCTGTCCACACCCTTCAAGGCACATTATCACCCATCTACAGCTCAGCTCTAGCTCCTAGGGATGGACTGGGACCAGAAATCAGCCCGAGCATTTCTATCACACAGGCCCATTCTTTCCCTTGAGGCTTCCACACTTGCCCATTTTTCACCTTGAGACCCCAGTTATTAGCCAAATAATTATAATTTTGGCAAAACCCACAATTTTGACAGGCACACTAGGCTAAAGATGGACCAGCCCATCTGGCATTTGCCAGAATTTCCCTATGGCCAGTCGGTCTCTGTTATCTCCCCAGGGCTGGAAGAAGGGCCCTGTGTACTAGCTCATCAACATTCAGATAGTCTGCATGTGACAGACAGAGAGGGCAGTCTGCATGTGACAGACAGACTGGGCAGCATCAAGACTGTTTGTCCTCATTCACCTCAAAGTTATAATAAGCGACACACTCGTCATGTCACATTGAAGCAATTCCAACACTACTAGAATAAAACTATGTTTGCTCCATTGACGATAACCCCAACACAGAGGTCACTCGTGACCAGGGGTCCATTCACAAACCCCAATACACTGCTACTGTAAGTTTAGAAACACACTTTTTGTTCACTCATTCATTTGTCCATTTGTCCATGAAATAATGTACTTCATAAGGGTGAGGTCAGTGATAGTCCCAGCCCCACTATATTGAACATCACTCTTCTTTACCAAATAGAAGAGTGGAATACATCCAGAGGTGATGATGATAAATGATCTTATCTCATTTTCAAAATATTGAGAAAGTGTATTCTGAAGATGAGGAGACTTTTAGACATTAAACCATAGACACTGTGAGGAGAGTGATACAGAGTCAGCCAGGTAAGTTGGACCTGATGCTATAATATTGATAATGTCCTTACCTGCAGGATGGTTGTAAATGGGTCTCAGTTTACCAGGTAGTAGAAGCTCTATCTGGTTAAGAATCCTGTGGTATGAAGCTCTAACTCCCACCAAAGCCATGTCTGGAGACTGTTACCAACAGTTTAGTATCAAAGTAGTATGTGATGTGCTTTATTGTACCAACGGTACACCCTGTCATTGGGCTACTTGAACAGATCAGACGGAATATATTGTGTGTGTGGGGGGGGGGGGGCACTTGAGGGGTTGTACTGAACTGTTAACACCCTTCCCACAACCACTAGTAAGCCCATCCTACTTTTCACTTTCCAAGAAAACACACGTGATTGGAAATGATACAATGTAACAACAGAAGCCAGACACACTGACTCTTGGACACACTTTCAAATGACATGAAACACATTATCAACTGACACAATGGATTTAACACAGGTAGGAAGGTGCGGTTTCTGTCTGATGAAACTAGAATCTATGGTTATTATTATAATATGTATTATAAGCTTATTATATAAATACTGTGGCACTTTGAGATAGTGTTTCAATGAAAAGCACTTTATAAATTCAATGTATTATTATTATTATTATCTAGTCACTAATTTCTACCATAAGAATTTCACCTTGACCAAAATTAACACATACTTTCACAGGCTAATTCACAGGTCGATCATTTTCTGCTGCCTATTGAAATCACTGGCCACTTTAAGAAATTGAACACTAGTCACTTTAATAATGTTTACATATCTTGCATTACTCATCTCATATGTATATACTGTATTCTATAATATTCTACTGTATCTTATTTCAGGCCGCTATGTCATTGCTTGTCCATATATGTATATTTTCTTAAATTCCATTCCTTACTTAGATTTGTGTGTATTGGGTATATGTTGTGAAATGGTTAGATATTACTTGTTAGATATTACTGCACTGTCAGAGCTAGAAGCACAAGCATTTCGCTACACCCGCAATAACATCTGCTTAACACGTGTATGTGACAAATATAATTTGATTTGATTTGACAAAGGGCTCAAGAAGTAGAGGGGCTCGAAACAGGGAGGGACATGGAGTTTGGAGGTGGGGGGCAAATCTGGGCATGCGCAGTGCTCATGTTCCATGGCTACATACCATCAGCACGAACTTCTTCATGAGAAACTAACGTGAAACTTCTCCGTGTGTTCTACAGATTTGTTCATTTGAGAAAATCTGCCAGCCAGACGACGGTACAAAATTGAGACAATTGTAGCGACTGAACTATAATAGAAGTCCTGAAAGAAATTCATTTGTAGCCTAATTTGTAAGACACCATGACTTAAACTTATTCGGTAGAAATATTTCAGTAATACTTTCACAAAGTGTTTTGTATGTGAGGCGGACAGTGTTTCGACATCATGCCCTGTACCAACAATCTAATTTGGGATATTAGGAAACGCACCATCGGTTCCAACAAAATCAACAACTTTACAAGGAGTAACTACTTAGGTGAGACAAACGTTTACATTAAATATTTAATGTACAAATGTTCTAAATACTACTTTATTGTCATAAAAGTGTACTGTATGTGTCACTGTGTAAGTAACATGTTTTTACAACAGCCTACTGCCTTGCACTAGGAATTTATCTAAGACACTGTTATTTTATTGGTATTGTTTGATATAAATTCATACTTTAAACATTTGTGTTGGATAAAATAATCATTTTGTCTCCAAGGGGTCCCAAATGATTAAATTGTGTTAGTTAGAGGGACTACCTTATGGGATACCTAACACTGTTCTTATGGTATCATAATGATTTCCTTCAGGAAGAAAAGAGTTTTGTACAAAGACTGAAACTTGAAGCCACTCTTGATGTACATGAGGGCTCTGTAAGTATCAACATGCGTTACAGAAATGATTACCAGTGTAAATGCAGTGTGATAATTGTATGATATCATCCTGTGTTTTCAAACTGTTATTGTTTTTCATGACAGATCAATACAGTATGCTGGAATGACACAGGAGAATACATCTTATCTGGATCAGATGATGACAAATTGGTCATCACGAACCCATACAACCGAAAAGTAAGACTAAAACATTGCTTATTATCAAGTACGGTACATACAACACATGCTTCAACCTATTGTTCATATGGACTCAGAAGAGACAGACAGACAGTATATGTGCAATATAAAGTCCCCCATTATGTTTCCACTCTCCAGGTCAAGGCATCCATTACATCATGGCATCGATCCAATATCTTCAGTGCCAAGTTCATGCCCCAAACCAACGACAGAATGATCGTGTCCGCAGCAGCCGACGGCAAGATCTTCCTCACCAACGTAGAGAGGGGTTCCAACCTGGACCCTGTGTTGCAGTATCACTGTCATAACGGTGCCGCCTACGAGGTGAGGGGTGCATCTGTGTTATCGCCATCTGTGTTATCGCCATCTGTGTTATCGCCATCTGTGTTATCGCCATCTGTGTTATCGCCATCTGTGTTATCGCCATCTGTGTTATCGCCATCTGAGTTGAATTCAATAGAGAGTTGATTCATGTATCTGATCTATCACATCTGCATCAAATCGGGGCGGCAGGTAGCTTAGTGGGTAAGAGCGTTGTGCCAGTAACCGAAAGGTCGCTGGTTCCAATCCCCGAGCCGACTAGGTGAAAAATCTGTCAATGTGCCCTTAAGCAAGGCACTTAACCCTAATTGCTCTGGATAAGAGTGTCTGCTAAATGACTAAAATGTAAAATTTACCTCAACGTCACACCTGTTATTGCTGTGGAAGGTAGGGATGGTATGTCGACCATAAATAAGTCATTGGCATTTTGCTGCAGTGAAAGTCATCTATTCTAAAGCCCACAGACCATATATCAGTAGACAGGAATTCCAATTCTATTTGACGTCCCAATCAGAGCAGGTTCTATATCTATTCTAAAACCACTCTATTTCTATTGGTAGATATTGACGGTACCTAGCGACCCTCACTCTTTCCTGTCCTGTGGAGAGGATGGAACAATCAGGTGGTTTGATGTCCGAGTTTCTCCTGGCTGCTGGCAAACTAACTGTAAAAAGGTAGGTACGCATTATGCCAATACAGCTAAACTCTTTTACAGGCAAATTAACAATTCTTATGTAACTATGATGTTATTACTACCGTATTATTGTGTCGTTACATATGTATAAAGGCAGCTTCTTTTTACTAATTACTTTTTCCCACCATTTTTGCCAACAGTTTTACCGACTACTCAAACAACCGTTTATGCTGATGTCAGAGTTCCCTGTATGAAGATATCTTGAACTTCTGTTGTCTTTTTTAATTAGGACATCCTGATTGACTGTCGGCGAGCAGTAACATCCATGGCCATATCCCCTGTGGAATCCTTCTATCTGGCTACTGGCTGCTCTGACAGCTCAGTCCGTATCTATGACAGGAGAATGCTGGGTACCATAGCAACAGGTATGCACAACCTCAACGGCGGCTTCAGGTAGCCTAGCGGTTAGAGCATTGGGCCAGTAACCCAAAGGTTTCTAGTTTGGATCCCCGAACCGACAAGGTGAAACATCTGTTGATGTGCCCTTGAGCAAGACACTTAACCCTAATAGCTTCAGGGTCGCCATTGATAAATAATGGCAGACTCTGGCTGTGACCCCACTCTCTGAGGGTGTCTCAGGGGGAGTTGAGATATGCAAAAAACACATTTTCGATTCACACATGGGTAAACAGGACAAATATAAGCAAGCACCCACCAGATAATAATAATTATTAACTCAAGGCAATCAGATAACTTAAACTGAACTAACAATTCTATCAATATCAATAGTCCTGAAGGAATCCTACTACCACAGTACATAACATAGTTAATCACTGTTTGATTGTCTTTGGGGTCAGTGGTGAGAATAACATTTTCTCCTGAAGGTCTGTATGGAAAATAATCATTTCCTATATACGTCTCATCCACTCTGCAGGTTTTCAGACAGGAAGCGGAGTGGCAGGGATGTGTGCGATGTTCGTACCGAGGCACCTGGTCAACAAGTCATGTCGCGTGACCTCATTGGCCTACAGTAGGGACGGCAGGGAGGTGCTAGCCAGCTACGCCTCAGACTATCTCTACCTGTTTGACCCTAAAGATGACAAGGGACGCGAGCTGAAGGGACCGTCGCAGGATAACAAGGTGAGAACCATCCTTTCACTTACTGTGTATCACAGCACTAAATACTGGATTCAATTTGAATGTAGTTTGTGTTTACACAACGACTGTCCTCTCACACCAATTTCTGGAAGCTTCTACGACATGACATGCAGTGTGTGTGTGAGTTGACAAAGGGGGGTGATGTGTTGTCCCGTCTCTTGGCTATTTTTGGCTCAACAGTCTACTGAATCTGTTCTGGGAAAGGCATCTGAGCTGTGTTCTCACACACACAGCTGCTGAACACATAAGCCAGGGGGCTTCTGGGTAATCAGCAGGGTGAGGCAGCATATTTTGTACAGAACTTGATACATACAACAGAACTTGATACATACAACACCAGGTAACGTCACAGTTCCTGTACAAACACCACAGAACTAGTGTATCCTAAGTGCACTAAGATGAAACCTCCCTGTCCCCCTCCTTCTTGTGTATGAGACCCCTGGAACCGCCTGCCAGAGCCTAAGACAACCTGGCAGTGAGGGCTGGGGAATGTGAGCCCCCAATGGAGGGAAGAGGAGGGTGGGTGGGGGGGTCTCAGCCGTAGTGAAAGGGCGGTTATTTTGGTTAAGCCTGTGCTGTGAGTGATGAAATGTCACTGTGTTTCTCTCCTAGCAAAAGGAGCCTCTGCAGAAGCGTCTGCGTCTGAGAGGAGACTGGTCAGACACTGGACCCCTGTCACGACCAGAGAGCGAGAGGGAGCGGGCCGGTAAGAGGAGGTCCCCACTCATCTAGACACACAGCTGACAACACGTGTGCTATCCATGACAGAAGTGCACTGTCACTTGGTCCTATTGCATGGATTAACACACATACACACAATACAATTATACAGTGGGGGAAAAAAGTATTTAGTCAGCCACCAATTGTGCAAGTTCTCCCACTTAAAAATATGAGAGAGGCCTGTAATTTAGGTACACGTCAACTATGACAGAGAAAATGAGGGAAAAAAATACAGAAAATCACATTGTAGGATTTTTAATGAATTTATTTGCAAATTATGGTGGAAAATAAGTATTTGGTCAATAACAAAAGTTTCTCAATACTTTGTTATATACCCTTTGTTGGCAATGACACAGGTCAAACGTTTTCTGTAAGTCTTCACAAGGTTTTCACACACTGTTGCTGGTATTTTGGCCCATTCCTCCATGCAGATCTCCTCTAGAGCAGTGATGTTTTGGGGCTGTCGCTGGGCAATACGGACTTTCAACTCCCGCCAAAGATTTTCTATGGGGTTGAGATCTGGAGACTGGCTAGGCCACTCCAGGACCTTGAAATGCTTCTTACGAAGCCACTCCTTCGTTGCCCGGGCGGTGTGTTTGGGATCATTGTCATGCTGAAAGACCCAGCCACGTTTCATCTTCAATGCCCTTGCTGATGGAAGGAGGTTTTCACTCAAAATCTCATGATACATGGCCCCATTCATTCTTTCCTTTACACGGATCAGTCGTCCTGGTCCCTTTGCAGAAAAACAGCCCCAAAGCATGATGTTTCCACCCCCATGCTTCACAGTAGGTATGGTGTTCTTTGGATGCAACTCAGCATTCTTTGTCCTCCAAACACGACGAGTTGAGTTTTTACCAAAAAATTATATTTTGGTTTCATCTGACATTCTCCCAATCCTCTTCTGGATCATCCAAATGCACTCTAGCAAACTTCAGACGGGCCTGGACATGTACTGGCTTAAGCAGGGGGACACGTCTGTCACTGCAGCATTTGAGTCCCTGGCGGCGTAGTGTGTTACTGATGGTAGGCTTTGTTACTTTGGTCCCAGCTCTCTGCAGGTCATTCACTAGGTCCCCCGTGTGGTTCTGGGATTTTTGCTCACCGTTCTTGTGATCATTTTGACCCCACAGGGTGAGATCTTGCGTGGAGCCCCAGATCGAGGGAGATTATCAGTGGTCTTGTATGTCTTCCATTTCCTAATAATTGCTCCCACAGTTGATTTCTTCAAACCAAGCTGCTTACCTATTGCAGATTCAGTCTTCCCAGCCTGGTGCAGGTCTACAATTTTGTTTCTGGTGTCCTTTGACAGCTCTTTGGTCTTGGCCATAGTGGAGTTTGGAGTGTGACTGTTTGAGGTTGTGGACAGGTGTCTTTTATACTGATAACAAGTTCAAACAGGTGCCATTAATACAGGTAACGAGTGGAGGACAGAGGAGCCTCTTAAAGAAGAAGTTACAGGTCTGTGAGAGCCAGAAATCTTGCTTGTTTGTAGGTGACCAAATACTTATTTTCCACCATAATTTGCAAATAAATTCATTAAAAATCCTACAATGTGATTTTCTGGATTTTTTTTCTCATTTTGTCTGTCATAGTTGACGTGTACCTATGATGAAAATTACAGGCCTCTCTCATCTTTTTAAGTGGGAGAACTTGCACAATTGGTGGCTGACTAAATACTTTTTTTCCCCACTGTACATAAGTATGATATTATTAGATTATGTAAACTTTCACATCACTGTCTATGAGTAATATGTCAGATGGATTTTTAACCATCTCCCTCCTGTGTCCTATAGGAGAGTCCAGGCCTGGTGTGTCTCTGATGCAGAGGATGTCAGACATGTTGTCACGCTGGTTTGAGGATGCCAGCGAGGCCCAGAACAACAGAGGAGCCCGTCCTCAGACACAGACACGACCCAGGGTAGACCCTGCAGCAGCAGCACCTCCAGCTCCACAAGGTAGTGGGCTTCACCAGGAGGCTATGGTGCTAGGGAATCAAGCCCCGTCTCAACCAACATCAACAGCCAGCTTCTCCTCTGACTCTTCCTCATCCATGGAGAGCCTGAGGAGCCGTAGGAGTGGCATTGGGACAGGAAGTCTCCAACCGTCTTCTGGGGAACCAGACCTGAGTCTGACACACAGCAACCAGGGCACCACTAGCAGCACCATCCAACTGGACTTCTCCAGCGGTGGCTCCAGCGACCAGGGGGAACCCCCGCAGATGAGGGGCCCAGAGCAGGTGTCTGACACCAGGCAGACCTCATCCCTCAGCCAGTCGGAGGTGGAGGGCATGGGAGAGGAGTCCACACCACAGCCCCCTGGGGAATGGATGCAAAGGTATGGTACTATGATTGCATTGACTGAGGCATAGCTGGCCTACACAGTTAATCAATGAACTACTAGAGCAATGTCTGGCTATTAAAGTGGATGTGTTGTTCCCTTCCTCCCATAGATTTAATTTGAGAGGATCAGAATTAGGTGAAAGAGTACTCAGGTAATTATTTACCGTTGCAACAACAATTAAGAATGACTTCTTCTTTACTAATAATGGATGTGTGTCAGATCAGTAGTTTAAATAACGTTGATAGATCAGTTTTAACTAGCATGCAATGCTGATGTTGGGCGTTCCCTTGTTGCTCTGTGCATTCAATCAAACCTGCAATACAGTATTACACTTCTCACATGGCTGGAATTTGATTGGATTTAATGACTCTACAGACATGTTGTATATCCTTCCGAAAGGCGCTCTGCTGCTGCACGGATCCAGGAGATTTTCCGGCGGCGGAAAGAGAAGAAAGAGTTGGCGGATTGCGAGACTCGCCGTGTCGGGAAGCCCTCAGTAGAAAAGGTCTACAAGGGCCACCGTAATTCCAGGACTATGGTACAGTACAGTAAAACACTACTGAGGATTAAGACAAGCTTGAAGTGATGATTTAGTCCACCAGAGGGGGACCTTGAGCAAGGTCACAGATTTTTTTATATGTGGGGATAACGGCTTCAACTTCTTGTCAGCTATAGTTAACGTACAATGCTTTAGTTATTGAGAAGTAGCTATGTGGAATACTCATTTGAGCTTTTGTTGTTGTTGTTTATAGACCAATCAGTGTTGTTTCTGGGGGGACCAGTTTGTTCTGAGCGGCTCAGACTGTGGTCATATCTTCATCTGGGACAGAGAGACAGGGGAACACCTAATGCTGCTGGAGGCAGACCAGCACGTTGTCAACTGTCTGCAGCCACACCCCTACGAACCACGTGAGTCCACTACTTCTGACACTCTCACTAAAGATGGTTTAGTGAACACCCAGTCTGGCTCTTGCAACTTAAAGGCTCGAAGGCCGTGACTTTCCATTTTCCCATTGAAAGTACAGGTAACTGCCCAAATAATGGAGTAAATGAGGGATACAAAGTATATTGGAAGCAGGTGCTTCCACACAGGTGTGGTTCCTGAGTTAATTAAGCAATTAACATCCCATCATGCTTAGGGTCATGTATAAAAATGCTGGGCAGGCCACTATTTTGTCCACCATGGCTATGCCCCCATAGGATGGCAATGGCCCCATCCACAGGGCACGAGTGGTCACTGAATGGTTTGATGAGCATGAAAACGATGTATGCCATGGCCGTCTCAGTCACCAGATGTCAACCCAACTGAACACTTACGGGAGATTCTGGAGCGGCGCTTGAGACAGCGTTTTCCACCACCGTCAACAAAACGCCAAATGATGGAATTTCTCGTGAAAGAATGGTTTCGCATCCCTCCAATAGAGTTCCAGACACTTGTAGAATCTATGCCAAGGTGCATTGAAGCTGTTCTGGCTCGTGGTGGCCCGACGGCCTATTAAAACGCTTTATGTTGGGGTTTCCTTTATTTTTTACCTGTATATTCCTTTTTTTCTTGTTCTGTTCATTTCAGTTTTAGCCACATCAGGGATAGATACCAACATCAAGATCTGGTCACCGATGGAGGAATCCCCATCATTCAACAGAGTACTCGCTGAAGAGGTGTGACATTATAAATACATGTATTCGTGTCACAGGAGGTTGGTGGCACCTTAATTGGGGAGGACGGCTCGTGGTAATGGCTGGAGTGGAATGGTATCAAATACGGCAAACACGTGGTTTCCAGGTGTTTGATGCTATTCCAGTGGCTCCGTTCCAGCCATTATTATGAGCCGTCCTCCCCCCAGCAGCCTCCGCTGACTCATGTGCTTTACAATCAAACACAGATGTGTGGATGGAGGAAAGAAGTGCTCTCATCATAGTGACATTGATGAAGCCATTGGAACCTCTGATCTCCTTCTGATACCTGGTGCTCTGTGTGTCCTGTAGGTCACCTTCCGTAATGAACTGATGCTGGAGGAGACCAGGAACACCATCACTGTACCTGCCTCATTCATGCTGAGGATGCTGGCCCAACTCAACCACTCCATCACAGCAGGTGAGCACTACACACACACACACACACATTCTTTCAACCCCATCCCAACCCTACATCCTTAGTGATAACCTGATACAGAATGGCTATGGCTTCTATCTTAAGTGGTTATAACATGTGTTATAACAGCAGTCACTGACTGGTAATATTGCTCATCTCTTTCTTTCCTCTACAGAGTCTGAGGACAATGAGGAAGAAGAGTAGGCCTATCCATGGCTTTCATACTGGACTGTTGAATGTGTGAAGTAGAAACGATACATTATCTCTTTGGAATCACTTTGTGACCATTATAGTGGTAATGTTACCATAGGGATTGGAGTGTTGGACCTCACCTAGTGTAGGTTAGGGGACATTAGAAGAGGTTGTGTTGATTTTTGATGCAGTAGTTTTTATAAATATAGTTTATATTCATATGTAGATCAAGGAATGTTTTATACCTATTTATATATTTAGTGCAGGTGTCCAGCCTCTCCGTCTGGCTATGAGAAGTGTTCTCTAGATGAGATCTCTTTATTCTCCTCTGTACTTTGTGAACCTCAGGCCTTTTTGTGAGAAGTTTTATTACGTCCAGAACACTGTCACATTTCATCTTACCTTGTCTGTGGCTTTTCCTGATACTCTGCAATGACGGCTCCGGTTCTGACTGTTGTCAATGCGCTTGTTTACCAAAGAGAATGCATTTAATTTAAGGATTTATGAATTTTACAAAAATAATAAAAGCGTAAGGTTGCCTCAAACTCTCAAGACTTGAGTTGTTGTTTTAAATACATAATGATATTACAATGCATGCTTGGTGACATAAGGACAAATGTTTGTATTCAGAAACAAGAAACTAATGTTCCACATTTGTTATTAACATTTTATACTACACAACTATTTGTTTGTTGAAAAATAAAACATATTACACATAAGAACAAAAAGAGAGAGAATGTAGTGATGATGAAGTAAAAACTAATATGTATTGTAAAAATATAAAAGAAACATTCATTGATCCGTAAAAAGCCTACTCTAACTAGGTGCTCTATTCAATCAGATCCACTTTAGCCGCCATTTGCATAGCGGTTGTTTTGGTGAAGTCGGAGGTGGAACAGCTTTAGAGCTATCAGATCCACAAGCGGCTCCTGGCATTATCCCTAAAGCGGACATTGCCTTTGGCTGCATGGAGTCGCGTTAAAGAGAAATCCCATGCAGCCTGGTTTAGAAGTTTGAACACTGGAATGTGAGATGTAATCTACACCTCCATTAAGATGATAGAAATCCTCATTATTTTTGTTTGATTTTCGATTTGAGCGTAATTATTTATATAAAGCCTACACTTTCTCATTCTGAACTTCTAATGCGAGTGGGATGGGTGTGGCTTCGTGACCATGATCAAGAGCAGCTGCTCACCGATTTGACAGCTCCAACACAGTTACACCGCCAAAACATCAGCTATGCGGGTGTCAGCTATCGCCCGTTAACACTTGATCTGATTGAATCTAGGCCTTAGTAGCATGGAATAAATATGTTAACAACATGATTGAAGATGACAAGATTCTCATTATGACTAAAGAAAGAAAAAAACGTGCAAGGTGCTTTTGAAAGAAGACAAAAACCTGTTTCCAAATATTGACTTCTACTGTATACGTTCATGGTTTAACAGTATATTAGAACAATGCTAATCATTTTGCTATTTTAGGTTATGCTCTTTTATCATACGGATGCAGCACATTGTGTAACGTGAAAGTTATAACAGCACCTACAGTACGTTTTAGTCTTTCAGTGACCACCAGACAACACTGAATCAGCTCTCAGTGCACATAGTCATGATTTAAAGCTTCAGTCATCTGCTACAGTGCTCAGACATGCTTTAACTACTGGGATTTGTATTGACGGTAAAAAAGAAGAAGCTAATTTGTATTAATACAGTATAGTTGAACCACTTCTTCAGTAGTAGACCTATATTCAAGCCCAGTGATTATAGTAATACTAATATACTGTAAGTATGGCCTCCATGTCAATCACTTAGATATGCTTTTCCTGTTTTACCCATGTAGAATGTATGGCTAGTACATAGTACCTAGATATTAGATGGAAATATTTACCTTAAGACACTTGACAAATCTATTGCTGATCAATCAAATCTTTGCGACATTTGATTCAATGGATAAAAAAATAAACTCTACCAATTCATAATTTGTAACATTTCTAGCAGTTCAGAATGTAACATTGATTGCTTATCCATTGACTTACTTCGGTAGTTAAGGCAACAATTGTTAAAGTGACCAAGGAAAAGTAGATAGTAGGCTGACAGTACCATTATGCAACATACACCACTAATAAAGCTTTGGGTGACAAAAAATGCTCAATTACAAACAAAGCCTAAATATAGGCGAACTACACATTTTCGTTAAACCCATAAGGCTATCATATCATATCATATCATAACATTACATTCACATTAAACCCATAAGGCTATCATATCATAACATTCACATTAAACCCATAAGGCTATCATATCATATCATAACATTCAATGTTATACTCTGCAAGTGTTTTTAGGCCTGCACACAATCCATGAATGATGTGCTTGATCAAGTGAAGCCGTACAACACACCGGTATAGTGAGAAGACTAGGGTTGGGGTCAATTCCATTTCAATTGAGTCACTTCAAATCCATCCTGAATTGACTGAATTGAAATGGAATTGACCCCATCACTGGTCCTGACGTGTTCCTCTTTCTAGTACTGCGCCATAAACAGATAGTCATGTATTTGTGATCTGCTGCAGCTCATTGAGGGGAGGAGTCTCTGCTAAGGCAGTCTGACTCGTTCTCTCCACTGTCAGTCTGGGCCGCTGGCTGGGATCTTCTCCTCAACACCAGCTTGTACAGCCCGGCCATGAGGAAGATCACTGCGATCACAGCAAAGTAGATGGCGTATATGAGAAACTGTGACACAGAGAGAGAGAGAGAAAATATTTATCAAGCTACGTTAGTGTTGTAACAGTAATACTACCCTTTCTAAAAACAAACCATATTTTACATCCAAACATCATGGATAGTATTGTCTTTAGATAAGTTACCTGTGGGAAAATGTCCAGGCCCAGCCCGACAGTGTCCACTACCACAACAGTAAGCAGAGTCTGAAGCAGCAGGGCGATGAAAGTGTTCACTCCAAACACCAAGGCATATCGCTGCATGCTCAGGTTGGCAGCAATCTGAAACCTAATGGAGCAGAAAATATTTTCTTTACAAATACAATTAAAAACATAAAAGTAGAACTTACACAGAGAATACACAGTTGAAAGATTAAATTGAATACACAGTTAAGATATATCATAGGTAGACAGCTAGCTACAGTAGAAGTCTACAGTAATGATACAATTGAGTCCAACCACCTCATCATTAATAACAAACTTTAAATCCCTGGATATCATATGGTTTTCAGGGGGTGTCTGTCCGTCCTACTCACGTAGCGATGGTTATGAGCAGCATGTAGGTGGCTCTGAAGACCACATAGGAGGTGTAGCACACCCAGATGTTCCTGATGGTGTCCATGAGGTACACAGCCACAGCCATGACCACTGAGAAGATGCAGAGAGACAGCTCTCCCCAGACTGCCCAGGAGACCTTGATGGAGCCCACCCCGAAGGCTGCTAACGCACCTAGGCATAGACCCCAGGGGCGCGATCAGTCGGCAGACAAACAGAAAATGCTTTGAAATGGATATGAATTTGATTATCGTCTGCTTCCAGGCTGACATGGAAGTATGGTAACGCAAGACTATTATTTGATCAGTTCAAGTAGTAGCTTCTTAGGTTCACACTCTGGAAGGTTCTCTGGTTCTAATTCATCTGAAATGGTACTACATCATCAAGTTTACCTAACAAGGTGGAGACTGTCTCTACGTATCCATTGTAGATCTCAAACTCCTGGGAAGGCAGGACCTTCTCCCACAGGGCCTGAACATAGTTGACCAACTGGAAGTAGCCACAAGTAGAGAGGGCCCACCACACCGACCAGGCCAGGAGGGCAGGGCATGAGTAGCACTGCAGGAAGTCTTCCCATAGGACCCTTAACACGTCCACTAAGCCACTGCTAGCGCCACCACCATCACTGGCCGTCACCACCTGAGTGAAAAAACCGGTACACAGGGTTAAGTAAGAATTTGCGTAAGAATCAACAGACTGAAATGCTCTGAAAAAACAGCTTCCTGAAAGTTAGTGATGAAGCAAGGTTTTAGTTCAATGTCTTTTTTGTAAATGTTCTAGTATTGCAACGGTCAATGTGTGTCAATCAGGATTGTGTCAATCTAGCAGCTTTCAGTTTGGGACAGCAGAGTTGCATGAGATCCATTAATAAACAACAGTTAATGGTTTTAACTCTCAGAGCTGCAACACAGTTCAACAACAACACTACTCAGTCCTTCAAAGAGGCTCACCATGACCTGTCTTACCAATAACAATAAAAAGATCACACAAAAAAATGAGTCTCACCATGGTGACCTCATCAATCTTCAGAGGCACTTTGCTCTCAGGGTCCTCTGCTTCATCCATGGGAATCCTGCTGTTTTGGTGCGCCGGCTTCTCCCCGTCTATCCCCAGGCTTTTATGGAAGAACAAGCTCTTACCGGGCATGGGCAAAAACCAGGGCGCCACAAAGGCCAAGATGGCCGACACCAATGTGACAACACTGAGGTAGAACAGCGGGATCTGAGCCACAGACACTAGCAGCTGCCCAGCCAGCGAGCCAGCGGCAGAGCCCAGTAACGTAACACTACGACAGTATCCAGTCACTCTCTGGTACTGGGCCGGGTCTACCACACTGTAGATGTAGGAATAGTAGGCTATATCTGTGGCAGTGGCGAGGCCAAAGAAGAACTCCAGAAGCTGCATGGCCAGCACACCCTGGGCCTTCACTAGCATAAAGTAGGTCACTACCAAGCTCACCGCCTGCAGGATCAGCACAGGCTTGTAGCACAGGTAGTCCGTGGCCAGGAAGACTGGGAGAAGTAGCACAAGGTAGGAATAGGTCCATATTGGGTAGATTTCATTTACAAGCTGTAGACAGAGGATACGTAGACAAAGTGAGCCATGTTATTGTAATTCACTCCTACGGACAAAATAGATAAAAACTTCCAATGGACAAAAATGTCATGTAAGTCTAATATTCGAAGTTGCTGCCTGTTTAGCTATTACAAAACAATCACCAGATTAGTTAACTAACTAGGCTACCTTTCTTCATTGGTGCCAAAGGGGAAAAGCAATTATTTTCGGATTTTAGACTTTTTTCAAAGGATTTGGACCACATGAGCTAGTGGTCCTATTAAGAAAATATTTCATGGATTGCAGTCAAACTGGATTAGCACGAGGACACTGAAACAATGTTAGCAAGATAATGTTACAGAAGAGCTAACGGTTCTCTTGGTTGTATATTGGTGATAGATTAGCATGTGATTGCATTACAGATATTCAACATGTAAACAATACGTTATTTTGTAGTTAGCTAGCTAAATGTAGTTGCTTGTTTCACAACGAACAAGAAGCTAATGCTAGCTTACCTCGTCCTTCCACTTACCTGTGCTTCAGTAAGGTTTTTATCAGGTCCCATCAAAAACGCAGTAAAGAAAGGCTCAGAAGGTCGGAGATTAGAGAAGAATCCATAAACACAAAGTAAGATCGTGGGATATAGTTGAGACATGTCAACAAAAAAACATAACATGACCTCCACGCACCACTGACGCTAGTAGATTTGATCTGACAGCAATATTGAAAAGCTATCAAGTGAACATATTATGCGTCGCAGTAAAATGACGACAGAACCTTCGGCCAATTAAATGAGAGTAGAGGCAACAAAATAAATGCATTTTTATTTATTTTTATGATGCACACACGCTGGTATACTTACCAAAGCTATATTACATTTTCTAAATCAGATTCTGCCCATTATTATTGATGTATATTATCGATGTGTATATTGACGTTTTTGATGTGTATGCAGGGCTCATCTGTAAAAGAGACCTTGGTTTCAGCATGACTCACTGTCAGAATAAAGGTTAAATAAAATACGAATTATTATATTTGAACAGTCAATCTGGCTACATACTCATTACATAACCTAATCTATTCATAGACCAGGCACACATTTTATTCTAGCTATCAATTTGCTGAGAAAAATATATAATTTCAGATGCCATATGTGCTTTATAATACATGATCTCAATGGCGTTCACCCAGTGGTAGGTCGTTTTATAACGGCATAATGTATACATGAAAATAATCCAGCATATAAATAATATTGGGGCTTTTTATTGATATAAATGTACATTACTTTAAAATGTTTGGTGTGTTAACACTGAGCAGTTACACAAGGAGTCTATAGGCTCAACAGATAACAGAGAAAGGACCACAATGCCTGTCCAGATGATTATTGGAAAAAAAATAAAGTACTCTGTAATCAGGTACTCAGATGTTATTTTACAATCAATATTTCAGCATTAATGAGTGAGTTATACAGTGAGGGAAAAAAGTATTTGATCCCCTGCTGATTTTGTACGTTTGCCCACTGACAAAGAAATGATCAGTCTATAATTTTAATGGTAGGTTTATTTGAACAGTTAGAGACAGAATAACAACAAAAACATCCAGAAAAACGCATGTAAATTTTTTTATAAATTGATTTGCATTTGAATGAGGGAAATAAGTATTTGAACCCCTATCAATCAGAAAGATTTCTGTCTCCCAGGTGTCTTTTATACAGGTAACGAGCTGAGATTAGAGCACACTCATAAAGGGAGTGCTCCTAATCTCAGCTTGTTACCTGTATAAAAGACACCTGTCCACAGAAGCAATCAATCAGATTTCAAACTCTCCACCATGGCCAAGACCAAAGAGCTCTCCAAGGATGTCAGGGACAAGATTTTAGACCTACACAAGGCTGGAATGGGCTACAAGACCATCGCCAAGCAGCTTGGTGAGAAGGTGATAACAGTTGCTGCGATTATTCGCAAATGGAAGAAACACAAAAGAACTGTCAATCTCCCTCTGCCTGGGGCTCCATGCAAGATCTCACCTTGTGGAGTTGCAATGATCATGAGAACAGTGAGGAATCAGCCCAGAACTACACGGGAGGATCTTGTCAATGATCTCAAGGCAGCTGGGACCATAGTCACCAAGAAAACAATTGGTAACACACTACGCCGTGAAGGACTGAAATCCTGCAGCGGCCGCAAGGTCCCCCTGCTCAAGAAAGCACATATACATGCCCGTCTGAAGTTTGCCAATGAACATCTGAATGATTCAGAGGAGAACTGGGTGAAAGTGTTGTGGTCAGATGAGAACAAAATGGAGCTCTTTGGCATCAACTCAACTCGCCGTGTTTGGAGGAGGAGGAATGCTGCCTATGACCCCAAGAACACCATCCCCACCGTCAAACATGGGAGGTGGAAACATTATGCTTTGGGGGTGTTTTTCTGCTAAGGGTACAGGACAACTTCACCGCATCAAAAGGGACGATGGACGGGGCCATGTACCGTCAGATCTTGGGTGAGAACCTCCTTCCCTCAGCCAGGGCATTGAAAATGGGTCGTGGATGGGTATTCCAGCATGACAATGACCCAAAACACATGGCCAAGGCAACAAAGGAGTGGCTCAAGAAGAAGCACATTAAGGTCCTGGAGTGGCCTAGCCAGTCTCCAGACCTTAATCCCATAGAAAATCTGTGGAGGGAGCTGAAGGTTCGAGTTGCCAAACGTCAGCCTCGAAACCTTAATGACTTGGAGAAGATCTGCAAAGAGGAGTGGGACAAAATCCCCCCTGAGATGTGTGCAAACCTGGTGGCCAACTAAAAGAAACGTCTGACCTCTGTGATTGCCAACAAGGGTTTTGCCACCAAGTACTAAGTCATGTTTTGCAGAGGGGTCAAATACTTATTTCCCTCATTAAAATGCAAATCAATTTATAAAAATTTTGACAGGCGTTTTTCTGGATTTTTTGTTGTTGTTATTCCGTCTCTCACTGTTCAAATAAACCTACCATTAAAATTATAGACTGATCATTTCTTTGTCAGTGGGCAAACGTACAAAATCAGCAGGGGATCAAATACTTTTTTCCCTCACTGTACATGCTGTTAAGAGAAGAGTACTATAGTTAACAATGAATGGACCGTGCAGACCCTTAGCCAAATGTGGATGAACCTTTGCAGAGGTTAAGAGAAAAGTCTTGGATGGTTTCTGACTGCCTGAAGTCTTTATATATTTGAGAAGACAGTCAAACTACTGATGATATACTGTGTCTCAGCATACTCTGGTGATACAGGTAACCTTGCGAGTCATCACACAAAAGTAACCCTCACATTCGTACAACACAATCATCATGACGTCATCTCTACGGGACAAGACAGTGGAACTAGGAGCAGGGTAAAAGAAGAAGAGCAGGGCAAATAAAACCCTAAAAAAGGGACATCCACCCCACTTACAGGAACCAACGATGGCCCTGGGCCCAGTAGACCATGTACAGTTTAGCATTAAGACAAACCGGCATCGGTCTGAATCAGTAATGAGGTCCAAACATTAGTCCAGCAAAGTGCATCACACTGAAAAAGCTATAGTACGAAGTGGGCAAAAAATAGTTCGATTTCTATCAACAACGCTTATAAAGATGTTTAATTGGTAAGCATTTGAGAGGACATTAAAGCGGCACCATTACTATGGTAAAAAAAATGATTTGTGTGGTTATAAAAGCAAATGGAGAAAACTTGAAAGCATATCTGTCAGTGAATTAATGTAAAATAAATATATAGTTATCTTTGAATGTTGTTATGTGCAGAGATGGCATTTGCCAAGTACAGAGTGAGAATCTTCCAGACAAAAACACTGCGAGATCAGTCACCACATAAAGCCATTACATCATTGGGATTACATCATTACCGACATGTGTACACACCTATCAACCCCTCAGCGTTCCAACGATTCAACCTATCCCCACGGAAAGAGTGTCAGAGTACCCAGAACATTCCAAGAGTCATTCCCAGAGACAACATTTCGTACCCCACTAATGCTGCCAGCCAGAAGACAGATTCCTTCTACACTCAAAGATGTTTGCAGGAGTAGCCTACACCTCTGTAGGATGGAGCTACATGGTGAAGTGCCTTGTGTAGTCGTATTCTATCGTGGGGATGACGGCTTGGACAAACTTCAAGAAAATCAACAGATACCTGAAACATTAAGTTAAGGAATAATGTGTAGGCAAGAATGGAAGAGAAACCGTATTAGCAAGATCACTTCTATTCACAACTCACCTTAGCTTGGGTTACATTGAATTATACCATGGCATTGTTGAATACTCATTTCACGATAAAGCACAGTATATCAGCACGGTAGAATTCAACTATAGCCATTGAAGTCTACCTTCTTTGAGCTGCGTTTGAAAGCAAAAGTCGAATTGAAAACGTTGAATTCGATTTTCATAACAGCAAGCTACGACTGATGATTTCTTTGTTTGGTTACCAAGGCAACTACTGTAGCTATCTAGTAAACTTGCTAGCTACTTCAGTGGATGTTGAACACATTTCAAGCGGTAAATGTGTTAAATTATTGCCATGGTATGAAAGGAATAAACGGGAGAGGCTGGGAATATTGTGAATATTATATCATTATGTAAGGGAAAAAACTCGGGGCTCTATGCGTTCTCTTGAAATTAATGCAACTCCGTTAGCGCGTCGTGGAACACACCGTCCACAGAACACATAGCCCCTCGATTATCCCTCACATAATGATACATATTAAATCACCAAGCTGCATTAAAAACACTTGACTGACTTCAGCTCAGCCTACAATTCACTTAAAGGATGCATATGAACTCCAAGTTCTCCTCCCCCTTCCGCCACGGTCTCGATTATCCTTTTCATCACTTCAGCATGTCTGGAAAACAGGAAGTGGCAACATTCGTTTACAGGACCATAAGTGCTCCCTCAATGAGTAGTAACGTCAGATCAGGGCCCATACTCAAAAAGCGTTTCAGAATAGGAGTTCTGATGTGGGATCAGTTGTGCCTTTTAGATTATAATGAATAGAAAGGGGGACCTGATCCTAGATCAGCACTCCTCACATTTTGAGACACTGACAGCATGTTCATGATCTCTTGCTTTTACCTGCAGGGATGCACAGAGCACATGGCAGGGGGTGGTAGGTGGGGGTGATTTTCGATGGTGACCGTTTTCTTCACATGATCCTGGCTGATGTCCTCGTACATCTGATCCACTGTCAGGGGCTGTCTGTCCTGTAGGAGTGAGAGGGAAAATGGTAAACAGAACATAGAACCCAGGAACTCGGTTTCCCAGGTAAGTCAAAGACATCATTCTTCCTCAGCTGTAAGAACGCACTTTTGGATGTACGTCCTCAATAATATTCACAATGCAATCCAAAAGGACACACAGCAGTATCTAAATGCCAACATGTTTTGTAACTGACATAGGATGCACTTTTTGGTCTACCCTAGAAACCCAATTACACTAAGCTGACGCCGTACTGCTCAGAGCTAGTTTACAAGGTACAATAAGTGCGTTACCTCATCGTATCCAAACAGCCAGAGTCGAGGAGTCTGATAATATTTGTCATATGTGATGTAGAGGTCATAGGTTCGAGTCTGCAGGATGTCATCGTTCCCAGCCTCTCCCGTTTTGGATTTAGACAAGTCCACCATTTTACTGGTGTCCAGGGTGGCCTAACAGGAAGTGAAAAATGGGGAATAGAGACACTTCCTGGAAACGGATGCGATGTACAATAAAAGTTACAACAATACTGTGAACTTCTGACCTCATCTGTTTCCAGTAGTCCACTCTCCTCATACTCTGAAAGAACAGAACAAGACACAAACTGAACCATTACATTACATTACATTACTAGTGAAGTATAACCACAGATAGAACAATGAGACAGATATTTCACCAGATGTATAAATGTGAAGCATCCGCTTGGCGTTTCCACTCACTACCAACTATGGTAGTGAGAGGAAGCCCAGTGGCCAGCAGTGGGAAAAGATGGATTTTGGTCCGACATTCTGCTAATTCTCTCATCGATGAAACATTTGATCTCAATTCAATTTTCTGTTCACAAAACTAAAATATGTTACGAACAGTCAAGTAAGTTTTGTAGACTTTACCCTTTGCCAAAGTAAAAAAAATTGCATTGTTTAGGAGTGCAAAGGCGAATTGAGTTATTGCACACGCGCACTTCACAGTGTAGGTGTTCCCTAATGGAAATATGCACGTATGCTAGAACGCACTAATAGGATCTCGCTAGCTCGTGCTTGGCTCTGCCCACCTCCTTGCCTGTTCTGCCCACTATGACTCATTTGTTCCCATTTGAAAACGACAGGCTGTGGACTATCTTGGTTTAGTTATACAAATCTTTGGTATATTCCTTGAGGAGTATAGAGTAAGATACCTTCCATATCTGCTGCCTCGCCTTCATCATCATCATCATCACCGTTCCCACTAGCACCAGAGTTCACGTTCATGTTCATGTTGTCCTTTAAAAACAAAGGAATACAACTATTTAAAAAGACGCCTGCAAATGGTATTAATCTAAGGTTGTTAGTTTGAAACATTCATTATCAATGCAGATTACTAGGATACAATAACAAAATGTAAATGTTCAATCAAAATCTACCTTATTGTCCAATGAGATTTCTCGCACAGCTTCTGTAACTCCCCCTACACCTAAAATATAAATTTGAAACATCAACATTCCTGGACAAACAAACCCAAAAGCAAACTTGTATTTCTAATGTATTCCTGAAACTGCACTCTGCAGCACATCAATAATTAAGGCATATTGCACTACAACAAAAAAGACCCAAGAAAATGAACCATTGTCACACGAAATGTCTAAAGTGTCCAACCTGAGTTGTGGTAGGTGTCGACCCATCCTCCATCGCCGTCATCCTCCTCTATGATGGCTTCCAGTTCATCACAATACTCCATCTGTTTACAGCGCTTGTAACAGGAACTGTAGGCACGCACACCCACCAAACATATATATTACTACAGCAACAATAAGGACAAGTAACAGTATTGTAGACAAAGTTCACACAGTTCTTACCATTGCGAGTTAATAGGAACTGCTTATCCTTGGGTAAATATGGCTTCACCTTCTCCTCTTCCCCAGACACCCTGGAGGGAATAAACATGATGTGACATCTGGGACTACTGTGCTGTCAAAACATCATACTGTAGTTGATTCTATATTTGGAGAGACAGCATAACATCAATCCAGAGTTATTACATGCTCATATCAGACTAATTAGATTTGAGAAGTGCAATTTAGCTGACTACAATATATCAGAGGTGGGGTTAAAGTCAATTTCAATTCCTGTTAGTTTAACTGGACATAGGAACATGTCCTCATAACAGTGTAATTCAATTCTGGAATGTACTGGGATTTAGAACATGGGCATTTCTTCATAAGAGTGTAATTCAATTTCAGAATTGACTTGGATGGAGCCAACCCTTGTCCTGGGGTAGCGTGTACAATATTAGAGTATCAATCTTACTCCAATGGACACTCACCATTTCCATGTGGGGCAGTGATGAACAAGGTGATCTCCAGCAGCTACAAACTAATGGTGAGAAAAGAGAGATTTAATAGGAAGTTGTGATAGTTCAGTCAGATGACACTTCTGGAAATCTCTTTCAGTTGCACTTATTTTCCCAAATGATGAAAGGCTACATACGTGTGACTTATTGGGCTTTTAAAAGTGACTCCGTTACAAATGATACGAAAGACATTTCTCACCTCTTCTGGAGTGATAACTCCAGTCTCCTTGAATTTGGATTCCTGTCAGACAAAATAAAGAAGGGATATAATTGTTGTGTTGGCAGAGTTTGATATCTTTAACTTTTCCTTTGTGTGACTGCCTGCAAACTATTTAATTACAGAGGAGGTTAGACATTCCATTCTTTATTACTTGAAGGTCTCAAACATTGACTGTCACATTTCTCAAATGTGCTTAACTGGAATCATGTGAAGCTAGCTACAATGACATATTGATAAGACAGTCATCAACGCCAAGAAACCTCAAAATATGTAATATACTGAGATTATACACTGCAACAGGATTGTTAACAACGAATTGTAGCTACATAATACATGTTGTTGAGAGCACTTGAGGGAAGACTTCCCGATAACGCATGCTAGCATGTTAGCATGCTCCACATCATCATTGCTGAGTGATAGCAAGCTACAGTAGCTAGCTAGCGAGCCAGCTAATTTAACTTACCTTCAGTACTGGAGTGAAAAACTCGGCCACACCAAGGGCCGTGCCTTTTACGGAATTAATGGCGTTCTGCATGTTAGCTATCGGATCGATCCCCCAACAGATGTGAGCGTCTTCAAACGCGGAAGGACCGTCTGCTTTCAGTTGTTTTCACCAGCACAAGCATAGCTTGTTGACTGCATTTGTCAGCTACAGATCACATGACTTGTCATTTGAGGATCCCCTTCCGCTGTTAAAGTCTCGAGAGATTTGTCTGGACCGGCTCAAGGGTTGCCAGATCATGACAGACCCAGGCATCAAGGGAAAGTTAAAAAACATTTGAGTTCTTCAATCTGGAATAAGACCTTTGATTCACACAGTCTACTCTGAACAGTTGATGTTGAGATGTGTCTGTTACTTGAACTCTGTGAATCATTTATTTGGGCTGCAATTTCTGAGGCTGGTAACTCTAATGAACTTATCTCTACAGCAGAGATAACTCTGGGTCTTCCTTTCCTGTAGCGGTCCTCATGAAAGCCAGTTTCATCATAGTGCTTCATGGTTTTTGCGACTGCATTTGAAGAAACATTCAAAGTTCTTGAAAATGTCCGTATTGACTGACCTTAATGTCTTAAAGTAATGATGGACTGTTGTTTCTCTTTGCTTATTTGAGCTGTTCTTGCCATAATATGGACTTGGTCTTTTACCAAATAGGGCTATCCTCTGTATCCCACCCCTACCTTGTCACAACACAACTGATTGGCTCAAACACATTAAGAAGGAAAGAAATCCCACAAATTAACTTTTAACAAGGCAGCCCTGTTAATTGAAATGCATTCCAGGTGACTACCTCATGACGCTGATTGAGAGAATGCTAAGAGTGTGCAAAGCTGTCATCAAGTCAAAGGGTGGCTACTTTGAAGAATCTCAAATATAAAATATATTTTGATTCGTTTAACACTTTTTTGGTTACTGCATGATTCCATATGTGTTATTTCATAGTTTTGATGTCTTCACTATTATTCTACAATGTAGAAAATAGTAAAAGTAAAGAAAAACCCTTGAATGAGTGGGTGTGTCCAAACTTTTGGCTGGTATTGTATATATTTTGTTTATATATATTTTTGGGGGGGGTTGCCTGTTTTGCATGTGATTTTGGCATTAATACGTGTCAAACATCAGTTTGCATAAAGGCGAAAGAAACGCACACCTATTTAGGCGAGGTGCTGGCTGACGGCGTAAAACACTTGAAAAATAAAAGGAAAGCCACACACTCTAGGAGCTCAGATGCAATAATTTAATATCCTAATAACCAACGTTTCGACAGACAAGCTGTCTTCATCAGGGTATAATGACAAACACTGCGGGTCACTAGTTTATATAGTGTCAAAGGACACACTCAGGTGTCTGTAATCATGGCCGGGTGTGGCCTAATAGCATTGACCAATTCACAGATAAAAACAACATAAAAAAACATGGATAGCATATGATCATAGATACTTGGCTACATAGGCCCATAACATGTACAATGAATAGCAAAATCACAAGAATGGCTTCAAATCAAAGTCTACGTTGAGACCGAAGGGAGCAAGGGTCTTTAAATAAAAGATCCAGGCAGCCTCTCGTTTTAACAATAAGTTGTCGAGGTCACCCCCTCTCCTAGGGAGGGTGACCTGTTCGATGCCGATATAACGTAGGGAAGAAATCGAGTGGTTCGCTTCCAAAAAGTGGGCTGCCCATTATTGCATCTGAGCTCCTAGAGTGTGCGGCTTTCCTTTTATTTTTCAAACATCAGTTTGCAAACAATATATATATAAAAGAAATTGAGTTAATAAAGCCACATACAAACATGGTCTCTTTTTTGCTTTCTTGAGTAAAGCAGTGTAGTGTATTAAGATTATGACTTTGTTAATGGTTTTAAGTGGAACTTGAGAGGATGTTTATTTAGTGTCAAAGGGAATGGTTTTAGTGTGACGCCACATAGGACAGAGACGTCTGTGTGTTGTAGACAGGGGATTGGACAGTAGAGGGAGCAGCCCATATTTTGGGGAAGATTATAAGTATAGGCTAGAGACAAAAACGGCAGAGCAGACATTGCAATTTGGGAACTGCTCTCCGGGTGATCTGGACATCCGTAAACTCATGCTGAAATCTTGTGATATGAATAAACCTTATGATCAAAGTTCAGTATGAGCGGACTCCTTTGTTACAGCAATAACTAGCGACTTTAACTCGACACTACAGCAGCTCCAAAATGCAGGAGTTTCAGCCTAGCTCAGTGCTTTCTGTAGTGGTGGGGCAGCCAGCGGAAAATACAGAGCGTAGGGGTTGGTAATGTTCTCTAGTTGCGCCATGATTGGCTCAGTGTTCTGTCACTCATGGGGACAATACGTCACCGCAAAATCTACAGGGAGAGCTCAAAAATTCAAGCCCCTTGGGTGCTGCCATAGATTTACATTAGAAGTGTCCACCAAGAAGGCTCAAGGTCATTGGCCACAGATAAAATGATGTCAAATCACGTTATATCTACCGTAGCTTTGATTGGACTGATCATGTCAACATCATACTTTCAAAATCTTAGTTAGCAAGCTAGACAAGCAGTCATCATCATTGATCAAGTCGACAATCTACCGGCAAATCCTTTTCAATCCTTGTCACATGAAGAGAAATTATAGATAAAACGTATCGGTGCTCATCGGCCATTGGACATAAACATTACTCAACAAGTTGAAAATAGCAAATTCAACAATAAGTGGTTTGGAAGGAATCAGTGGCTAACTGCAAGCATTGAAAAGCAATCACTAGCCTGCTATTCAGTGGAGAGGGTGTGTGGTCCAAGTCTGGGTTTAAGGGTCTCTTTTCCAAGCTTAAAAGGAGAAACATTCACAAACAACACCAACATTCACATACAACACCATGGGCCAGAAAAGGTTGAATACACTGGCCATGCTGTCAATCCAACATGACTTCTGCCGCGTTCCAAAGAACTGGAAACTCGGAACTGGGAAATCTCAGACTTCAGTGAGTTCAAGACAACTGGGAACTTGAGCTCTGACTGGGAAAATAAGTTTTGAAGGGTCATCCAACTCGGAATTTCAAGTCGGGAACTCGGGCCTCTAGAGCTCCGACCTGAAGATCACTGACGTCATGATTCAACCTTATTTTTTCCCCAGTTGTTTTGAAAGCACCATAAATCCAGAGAATGCCAGACTTTGATGACAAAGTTTGATGACAAAATTTGCCCACAAGATTGACCGCCGCGCCACCTTCCTGTTCAAGTGAGCACAGCACAACAAGGTGAGTCCAAAAATGTATTGTATGCTGCTGCATAAATGATGTAATATGCCAGGGAGATATGTATGCTGTAGCTAAGAAAGTAATACTAAGTGTATGTTGTGTAGTAAGCTGTTAGTAGCCTTAATAATTTGGTCCCTTTCCCCCTTATAACTTAGCCTACTGTACCGACTTGGTGGTGCACATGTAGCCTATAGCCTGTTTTAGAAAAATGTCATCATCGAATATTGTAAGAGCTTTTATTGTCTGTTTATATGACCCCTTTATTTATCCTACGGTTCTGACTTGATGTACAGGGAGAACACTGTAAGAACGGCCCATGTTCTGAATTCAGTCGCTGTACATTTCAAAAGTGCTGAACACTTTTTTTTGGCTTGCTCATTAATGTCTCAATTGAAATTACAGATTGTCTCTTATCTACTCATCGTTCCCTTATGCCATAGTTTGTACATCTCACATTTTAGTCATTTAGCAGATGCTCTTATCCAGAGCGACTTACAGTTAGTGAGTGCATACATTATTTTTTTATTATTTTTTCATACTGGCCCCCCCGTGGGAAACAAACCCACAACCCTGGCGTTGCAAACGCCATGCTCTATCAACTGAGCTACATCCCTGCCGGCCATTCCCTCCCCTACCCTGGATGAAGCTGGGCCAATTGTGCGCCGCCCCATGGGTCTCCCGGTCGCAGCCGGCTACAACAGAGCCTGGATTAGAACCAGGATCTCTAGTGGCACAGCTAGCACTGCGATGCAGTGCCTTAGACCACTGCACCTGTCACGAATTCAGCCGAGGCTGCCCCTCCTCCTTGCTCGGGCAGGCTTCGGCATTCGTCTTCACCGGAGTACTAGCTGCTACCGATCCATGTTTCTATGTTCTACTTGTTTTGTCTGTATTGGTCTCACCTGTTTCCCATCTTGTAATTATGTCTTCCCTATTTAACCCTCTGGCTCACACTGTGTGTTGTGCGTGTTTGTCCATGTTTTGGTTGTCGTATGTGAGCGGGTTTGTTCCTCCCTGCGTGGAGGTATGTTCTTTAAGATACCTATGAGTAAAGTATGTTTTTTGAGTAGCTCTGTGTCCTGCGCCTGACTTCGTCCTACCGCATTACATTGACGCCTTGACAGAAACATGCACCAAAATATGGAGTCAGCAGGTACATTAATTTCGTCCGGATCAATGGAGGAACGTGTCCGACAGCAGGCGACCATGATCCAGACTCTCGGCACTGCAATGGAGCGTGTGTTGAACACTATGGAGCAATGGGAGAGAGGTGGTGGTCCTACACCTCCTCCAACTACACAACCACCCACACCGCTGTCCACCCCTTCGTCACCTGGGTCCAGTGGGATTCGGCTCTCGCTCCCAAGGGCATACGATGGTACAGCTGCCGGGTGCCAGGGTTTTCTGCTCCAGGTAGAGCTCTACCTGGCTACCATCCACCCGGCTCCCTCGGGATACGAGAGCGTGTCCACCCTCATCTCCTGTGTGTCTGGAAGAGTGCTCGAGTGGGCCAACGCTGAGTGGGGAGGAATAGACGTAGCGTCAGTACGCTATGAGGATTTCACCTGCCGCCTTCGGGCGGTATTCGATCATCAACCGGAGGGGAGAGTGGCGGGGGAACGTCTATTCCACCTCAGACAGGGGAGGAGGAGCGCACACGACTTTGCACTGGACTTCAGGGACACTTCAGGGACGTTCGTCGGGAACTGGCCTGCAGGGACACCACCCTTAACCTGGACCAACTGGTGGACATGTCGATAAGGCTGGATAACCTGTTGGCAACCCGCGGACGTCCGGATCAGGGGCCGTCCATTCCATCCCCCAGCACCTCCAACCCTACTCCTATGGAGCTCGGAGGTGATGCACTTAGGGAGACCGGAAGGAGGGCCATCTCCTGCACCAACTGTGGCCGCGGAGGACACACTGCTGGTCGGTGCTGAGGAGGGTCT